TTGTGCTTTATCAAAATAATGTTTACATCGACGAATAGTTCCTAATTTCTGTTTCACAGTTAAAGCAATACTTTCGATATGTTTTTTAAAGTCAAGACTGTTATCAATTATAACTCCCAAACATTTATAGGTATATACACATTCCAATTGGCATCTATTTAATTCAATCGACAGCATACTGTTATCTAATGATCTAAGCTTTTGATTTGATCCTAGCAGCATCGTTTTGGTTTTATCACTATTCAAAATCAACTTATTTTTATTCAGCCAAGAATTCAGTTCACCAAGAGCTTTTGTCAGTTTGAGTTCTACCTCTTGCTTAGTTTTTTCACATACAGAAATAGTAGTATCATCCGCATACATATAAACAATGCCATTTGAGATGGAACATGGGAGGTCATTAACGAATAGAGTAAAAAGGAGCGGGGCCAGGATGGACCCTTGTGGAACTCCCATTGTTATATTTCTAAATGTTGATTTTTCTTTCCCTAATGAGACAAATTGTTGGCGATTTTTCAAGTATGATTCAAACCATTTAATTACATGCGGAGAGCAACCATATTGATGTAATCTATTTAAGAGGAGAGAGTGATTGACTGTATCGAATGCACGTCGGAGATCTATAAAAGCTACACCATTTAAATACCCTTTGTCTACATTGACTGACCACTGGTTAACCATGCACAATAGGGCTGTTTCACATGAGTGCTTAGGACGAAATCCAAATTGGTTCTTATAAAATAGATTATGCTGAGACAGATATTCAAAGATATTTAAATAAACTGCCCTTTCAATTATTTTAGATAAAATCGGCAATATAGACACGGGTCTGTAGTTTTTCATTATGGCTGTATCCCCTCCTTTGGGAATTGGTTGGACTCGGGCTATCTTCCAAGCATCAGGGTATACTGAAGAATGCAAAGACAAATTTAGTATATATTCTAAACTTTCCATTACATGAGGAATATCACAGATATATTTCAGTATTTTAACAGAGAGTTCATCATACCCAGTTGCTTTTTTGCAAGTATATGATTTTATCTGTTTGATGACGAAATCTATCGAGATATTTGAAAAGTAAAGTAAATCACCGTTTGTTTGTTTTTCCAGATTTTCTTCAAGTGATTCACATCTCTTAATTGTTTCGGTCTCGAGCTCAAAACCTTTAGTGAGTTCAGAAACGGAGTCAACAAAATACGTATTAAAATATTCGACAACCTCCTTCAAGTCTGATATTTCAACATCGTTTACATTCAATATTATATTTTTAGACTGACTTTTCTTAGTAAGACGTCGCATAACATCCCATAACGCATTTGCGTTTCCTGATTTGTCGTTCAATAATGAAGTAATGTATGATTTTTAAAGATTTTTGAGTTCGCGTGTGATAAGATTTCTGCATTTTTTATATTGTTCCCAAAAATCTGATGACGAGAGCTGTATTGCTTTATCACGAAGGTAGTCCCTCGTGTTCATCAATTTAATGACGTTACCTGTCACCCAAGGACATGGATTATTTCTTAGACGTTTTCTTTTGTATGGTGCACACATATTTACAATTTCCATTATCGGGTTGTACCATATATCCCATGCACAGTTAACATCCTTACACTGATATAATTCTTCAAAATGCACTTGGGAAAGTAAAAAATTGAATTCTGCAAACTCAAAACCCTTAAAATCTCTCCATTCTATGATATTTTCTTTTTGAGTAATATCAGCATCACCGTAAACGGTGAAAATCATATAATGATCACTAAATGATGTTTTTAGCACTCCATTCAAGGAGTGATTTTCTACGTCAGTGGAATATATAAGATCAATAATAGTTTGCGACGTTGTCGTCACTCGTGTTGGATCATCAATCAGTTGGTCGAAAAGAAAACCAGACATCATCTCTTCGAGAGATCGTGATAGAGAGTCTATGTTATTTGGACACATATCACAATTTAAGTCTCCAAGTAATATCATTTCCACATCTGTATTAGTGACAGCTTGACTTAACATTCCGTTCAATAAATCAAAGTAACTTGACGACGAATTTGGAGGTCTGTAGATAACACATATAAGAAGTGTTTCTGAATGTTTTGGCGATAATTTTACCCACAGGGCTTCAATATCGTCGCATGTAATATTATTTTCAAACCGGCAACTTACGTCATCTTTCACGTACAGAGCCACACCCCCTCCATGCCGGTTGCGGTCTTTGCGGAAAATATTGTAATTTTCAATGTCTAATTCAGAATCAGATATGGTAGCATCGCATTTGGTTTCAGAGACAGCAACAACATGGAAAGGATTATGTTGAAGTACAATTTTAAGTTCAGATAACTTTGGTACAATTGAATTTATATTAATGTGACATATTTTTAAACCTGTTTTAGGAAGGCAGCTGAATAATTTATCTTGAGTTCCGAAGTACTTACAGGTGTGGGCCCAATTTACATCAGTTTGTGAGCCAGTTGGATTGAGACTGTTTTTAGAAGTAAAGGTGATATTGTCACAAGTAGTGGCATTTAGTGGTAACGATTGTTCAGGAGATTCCTGGCTGTTGTAAGACTGTCCATCCAATCTTTGGGAACACTCTGTTTTCTGGTTTCCGTCGAGATTTCGAGTAGCTGTAGCTGTGCCACGGAAAAGGTGGAGGCTCGTTCTTCTGTGCGTCTTGCTGGGGCGTCCACGTTGGATAGCTAAATTGGGTTGATGTCAATCCATCATCTCCTCCGTTCTGTGGAATTCTGTTATCATTCAGGGGTGGAAAATCAACATCATAGGATTGCAGAGACTTGTATTGCGAGTCCATCGATGTTGGTCTAGATGATCGCCGCAGAAAGTGAATGATATTTTGTGCAAACGTGATCGTCCCCGTCCGATTGAGATGTACGCCATCTGCGTTGAGATGAAGGCCAGGGTCGATATTGTCATTATCGATGACGAGCCAACTTCGTTGATTGGCTGAAAGTTTGATGGCTGCGTTCACCTCTGAAACTTTGGTATATTCTTGATTCGTTTCATTCAGTCTATGGATGATAGTTGAAGTAGCAATGGTCTTGACCCCAGGAATTGTATGGACTTGTTCAAGAAGTGAGATTGTTTTAGCAATTATTACATCTGATTCATCGCATTGCAAGTTATTTGTGCCGAGATGTACGACAACTTCGCTTACTTCATACTCATTAGCGAACTTACATACATCATTGTGTGCATCCTCAATTTTCGCTCCATTCAGAGTTCTGCAGATAATGTTTTTGCTTCGAGAAAGTTTGGATGGTCTGATTTGTTTCGTCATAGAGTCCCCAATTATCAGCACATCCGCTTTCATCGGTCTTTGTGTTTGCATAGATTTCTGATTCCGCTCATTCATGGAAACGGGGTTTCCATCATGTGATGTTTCGTTCTCTCTTGTCATGGAATCCCTTGTGGTTTGAATGTCAGTGTTAATAGGGGCATTCTCAATCACATTGGTTTGATTGGATTTTGTCAGGGCGTGCAGTTGCTTTTGTTTAGTTTTGTATTCGTCGAACTGTTCCTGTAGAGAGGGATTAATAACGTTTTGTTCGCGGCGCTCTAAGTCAGCGACTGTTTGAATCGTCTCGCTAACTTCAGGAGACACAGGTCTATTATTCCCTTTGTTGGGACTCTCGACAGTAGATCCTATTAAGGACTCGTCAATTGATATATGGTCACAATATTGGTCGTTCAACCTTGTAACGATGTCAAGGACAGAAGCTTCCAATGATTTGACTTTATTTGGTAGATCTGTGCAATTATCACACAAGATATCCTTGGTATTGCAATTAATCAGCTCCTTTTTACATATCAAGCAACTTCTACGAACGAAGTTCTTTGTACAGTCACTATTCCCGTTTGTGTCATAGTTACCTTTTTATAACTCGACTTGGAGGATGATTTCACTGGAATATAGATATCACATCAACTAGCTTGTTAAAAGCATCATTAGCATCATAAGTTGACTGTTTAGATAGGATGGAAACCTCAACCCACCGCAATTTGTTGAAATATATTCAATGAACGTATAAAGCTATGGTGGAGCGAAACGGAAAAAAAAGAAGAACATAAAACTTAACTCTAATCATACAGATTACATTGCAGATGAGTTGCAATAGGTTCAACGTGTGCCTACAAAGACTTCAGATGAAAGTAGAACAGTAATACAAAAAATTAAATGCAGTTCTATGAAAGAGAAAGAGAGACGGTTTGTAATGAAATGAATGGGGGACTGTTTGAATTTCAAGAAGAAAATAACAATTTTCTACTCGTTGGGAGGGCAATCTTGAAGGTTCTAGATTAATTGTTAGACTTAATTAAGAGCGTCCGGTGTTGTGCTGCACACCTATGAGAGGCCTATGTTTTATCTTTTATCATCTTTTATCATATTTTACCACTTGGAATTGCATATATTCGTGTGAATCATCTCAATATGTTGCTATTCTTCTGCTGAGCTGATATCCAGTATTCTTGCCACTTCTCTAGAACTTATATCGTAAGTTTATATATTGCATGTTTTTTACGACTCTTCGTCTCCGATATACGTAGTCCCAGACATGGCAAGTAAAGTACGTTCGAATAAATATCATGGTAAACCTGGAGAAAAAACTTTTAAGTACAAACTGCCCAAAGGGATTACAAGTGGAAGTATTTCCTTTTCACTCAGCCTAATTTTCAATTGCCATAAATCTGTGCCCCAGGGACTTTCGCCGACAGACTTTTATTTGGGCGAACTATCACAAATTTATCCCGATTTGAACATTGAGATAGGTCGCCATTTTGTAATCATCGGCGAACCCGATCGTACGAACCATTCAACATCTTCAATGTCTAACAATAGTTCTATTGTCAGTATCAACAATGATGAAAGCACTCAAAGTGAGGATCACGACCCTGTACGAAACTGCATGTTATGTAACTTGATGTGTGACGTAACAGAGAGCATTTGTATGAAATGCAGATGTATTAATCAACGACCTGATCAACTTACAATGGATATGAAACAGGTTAAGCACGCCATTGTCGCTATGCTTGACAACCCACAGTCAAACACGTCATCATCTCAACGACCTCCATTTTCAAGCACCCGCCAAACGTCACAACCGTCACCCCCAGGCACATCCAGTCTACCAGTCCATCCTCCAAGGCCACGGAAGGGACCATCATCATCTCAACCCCCTGGGATACCATCTCGATCTTCTTTTCCTCAGGCTGCCCCAGCTCCCGTACCCTCCCAAGCCGCCACAGCTGAACCTTACCAGTACGCCTTCCCTCCGCTACGCCCATCGAGCTACATTAATCCTCCATACCCACCAAAACCTCATCCGAACGCCTACGCACCATCGCATTATCTTTCACCCCCGAGGATGTTCGAGAACCCCCAGCCACCACGCTCCACATTTCAACCATCAATGTTCACGCCAAGACAACGATCAACTACCGCGACGCGTTTTGGTCCCTATGGAAACAGAGCATATGCATCAGTAGTCCGCGAATCATCTACAATGTACGGGACATGTTGCGAATACTGCGGTGAACCCAATCATAGAGCTAACACTTGTCGACATGGAATCCAACTCCAATGTCGCCGATGTAACCAGCTTGGTCACAAAGAGAAGTTTTGCACTTATTAAAAGACTGGCCAAGAAGAGAGTGCCAATGTTGATCACTCGCCTGTGCACCTCGACGAGCCTAATATTAAAACATGTACTCCATATTTTGAACATGACAATAAAAATAATCCAAACAATCTAAAATGTATATCCTTAAATGCAAGAAGCGTTGTGAATAAGATCGACGAAATAAGAACAATTATTGAACATGATAAACCTGATGTTTTTTGTATTACGGAGACTCATTTATGTCCGGAAATTTTATCTTCTGAGATATTTCCCCAAAATTTTAAGGTAGTACGAAAAGATAGGAATAGACATGGTGGAGGAATTCTTATAGCATATCATAATATTTTGTCAGTAATCCATAGAGAAGACCTTGAGACAAACTGCGAAATTATTTGGTGCGAATTATTTTTTAAAGAAACAAAATCTATTTTTCTTGGAGTTTTTTATAGACCTCCAAACAGTAAAATAGAAAGTATTTATGAATTTGAAAAATCTATGTCATTAATAACTCATAATGGTAAATGACAGGAGATTTTAATTTACCAAGTTTGAAATGGGTAAACGGATATAATGTCACATCCGAAAACTCTGAGTTAACAAAATACTTTATGTCGGTTATTGACAACAATTTTCTTTATCAACATGTAAGTCAACCAACAAGAATTACTGATAAGACTTGTAACATACTAGATTTATTATTTACGTCTCATCCATCAGATGTGTCTAAAGTTAATATAATTCCTGGTATAAGTGACCATGAGGCTATAAGTTTCATTATTTGTTGTATGAATAACAGTGAATTAAAAAAGAAACATATATATTTTTATTCTAAAGCTAATTTTGAACAATTCCGAAAAGATTTGAAAGAAGCACCTTTATCTGAGGAAAGCAGAGATGTTAATCTGAAAGAATATTGGCAGTTGATTAAATCTACAATAATAAAGATTTGTGATGCAAATGTTCCGCATGGTAATTTAAGAAAAGGATCAAATGTTCCGTGGGTAGATAAGGATTTAAGGAAATTGATGAGAAAAAGAAATAGAGCGTTTAAGAAAGCTAAAAGAACAACTAAGAGAACCCATTGGGAAAAATACAGACAGTTGAGAAAAGAAGTAAAAAAGAAAGTTAAATTGAATTATGTGAATTATTTACGCAATGATATATGCAATAGTCTTAAACGTAATCCTAAACTTTTTTGGAATTTTATTAAGTCCAGAAAGTGTGCCCGTGGTAGGATAGATTTCTTAAATGTCAGTGGTAGAATTATTACTGAAGATCAACAAAAAGCTGATGTTTTTAATGAACAATTTAATCAAATTTTTAGTAATTGTGAAACCCTTTCCCAGCCCGAATCAAATAGTAATGCTCCTATTATGGAGGATATTCAATGTACCGAAGCTGAAGTCTTAAAGTTGTTAAAGAATGTAGACATTTCAAAAGCGCAAGGCCCCGATGAATTAGCCCCATGTTTGTTGAAAGAAGGTGCAGAACAATTGGCACCTGCTCTTTGTAAACTTTTTAAGCCCGACTCAAATAGTAATGCTCCTATTATGGAGGATATTCAATGTACCGAAGCTGAAGTCTTAAAGTTGTTAAAGAATGTAGACATTTCAAAAGCGCAAGGCCCCGATGAATTAGCCCCATGTTTGTTGAAAGAAGGTGCAGAACAATTGGCACCTGCTCTTTGTAAACTTTTTAATCTGTCTTTGTCATCAGGTGTATTGCCAGCCGATTGGCAAAAAGCTAATATATGTCCATTGTATAAAAAGGGCAACAAACAGGATCCGGGTAATAGGCCATTTTCGTAATGTAACCAAATTTAATGCACAGGTCTTTGTGAAGTGCTTCAATACAAACTATTTCATTCACCTGATAAGAATAATAGTATTTCAATAGACAGAATCCTAACTGCATACATTAGTTGTTGCCAGGTTGGACAAACATTATGGCTTGACCTACCTAGTAACACTTAATATATGCAGTTGCATTCTGACTATTGAAATACTATTATTTCTATCAGGTGAATGAAATAATTTGTATTGAGGCACTTCACAAAGACATATGCATTAAATTTGGTTACATTACGAAAATGGCCTATTATCGCCCTATATCTTTTACGTCCATTACATGCAAGATCTTAGAACGCATAATTTGTAAACGTCTTATTGAACATTTTAATGAAAATAATATACTATGTGACAATCAACATGGTTTTCGGGAAAAAAGAAGTTGTGAAACACAACTTATAGAAGCAATTAATGATTGGAGTTATAATATGGAGTCTGGTTCAAGCGTCCACATTGCTTTCCTTGATTTTGCAAAGGCGTTTGATAGTGTACCTCACGACCTTTTAAGAACAAAACTTGAAATGTATGGTGTAAGATCTCAAAATTTAGAATGGATAATGAATTTTTTACAGAATAGATATCAAAGGGTGGTTATAAATGGCGAATGTTCTTCATGGATCAAAGTTAAATCAGGCGTTCCGCAAGGAACAATTTTAGGCCCGATATTGTTTTTATGTTTCATTAATGATATGCCTAATAATATTTCATCAACTATTCGATTATATGCGGACGATTGTATATTGTACCGTCCAATTTTCAATGTAGATGATTGCAAGATATTACAAAATGATTTAGAAGTTTTAAGTAAATGGTCTGAAACATGGATGCTCGACTTTAATGTATCAAAGTGTAAAACTATGAAAATGTCTAGAAAGCTTCACGATATAACATATAATTATTCTCTCAATGGACAGGAGTTAACAAATGTAAAGTCTGAAAAATACTTAGGTCTTGTAATAAATGATTCTTTAAACTGGAACGACCATTGCACTGACTTATATACAAAATGTAACAGGATCATGGGAATTATAAGACGGAATTTTATTAATTGTCCAAAGTCTATTTTAAAAAGTCTTTTTGAATCACTAATTCGCTCACGTTTAGAATATTGTTGTACAGCATGGGATCCCTATAGAAACACACACAAAGAGAGGATTGAACGTATTCAAAAACGTTACGTAAGGATGATGTGTAAGGATTGGTCTACGAGTTATAACGTGTTATTACAAAATGTCAAAATGAATTTATTAGAAAATAGACGAAAGTACCATAGACTTGTTTTTTACTATAAGATTGTAAATAACTTGATTAATGTAGGAGAAGTAAATAGGTGCACACGAGCGAACAGAATAGGAAGAAATGATAATACTTTTAAGATGCACGTTCCATATGCCAGAACAGACTATTATATGAAATCCTTTTATCCCCAAACAATTAATAAATGGAATCAACTCCCACAAACAGTAGTAAACAGTCAATCGCTAAATACCTTTAAATAGGCTCTGTTAAAACATCTCAATCTAGATTTTTGAAAAAGAAGTGTCTTGCAATTTCTAACTTGTATTTCTGTTGTTGTATTTATATTGAACTATAACCTATGTCATACTTCGATATTTTATGTATCAGTATTTGCTGTGTAATTATGTATGCCATTTTACTGTCCATATCTGGGATGCAAACCTGTATGGGTTTTTCTAAACCTTGTTTTGTAACCCAAGACATGTATATATTTTTATATTGTCTGAATAAAATCAAATCAAATCAAATCAAATCAAAATCTTTCCCCTGCATAGACAACTGACAACTTAGGCCTCTGCCGCTGCAACACGACAGGGGCCCTCTGGGTCATTCTGGGGTGTTTTGGAGTCCTGGACCTTAACCGAAAAGATAGAAATCGTTTCCAAGACAAACCTTTATTCTATAAAATTGTCCTTAGGAGAGAGTGTGTATGTATGTGTGACAAAGCATTGCTTCCCAACAATATAAACCAATAGGGTCAGTGAAAATTTTAAGGGATGGATTAACTTTTTTAAATGCAAATTTCAAGACGGCTATCATAAAGGTTCTGAATTAATAAAACTCCAGAGCGTCTGTATACTCGTCATTCATGCATTTCCACGTGAACGGTGAATGTAAAGATTCGTTAATTTAAGGATGAGTTCTCTTCTCTCTGCAGTTGATTGTTCTGCTCCCAACACATGTATGAACGGAGGTACCTGTAATGGTGAGGGCAATGCATGTCAATGTAATGCAGGATATACTGGAGAGTTGTGTGGTACAGGTATGAACATATATTGTAACATCAGGATTTAACGCCGACAAATATTTTGGTTTCAAAGGAAATTATTAGACACGTAATGATAACGATGATTTAAGCCATGATATACGGTAATATCGTGCACTTAACCCCTTTATATGTGTCAAAATCAACATTTTAACTTTCAAACACTAACCCACCCCCCCCCCCCCTCCCTCCCGAAAATGGAGTGGGCTAAAGTTTGGGGAAAGCCTACCTAAAAAACCTACCTGTCATTATTTAAAATGTCAGTTTTTACTTAATTTTCCTGTTATTTTCTTTTTCTTCGAGGGCCTCTTCAAGGATTGTCAGTGACAACGAAACTTGTTTTTTTTAATAGATTTTTACTTCTTCTTAGTCCATGAATTTGGAAATTAATCGGACGAATTCAAGATAGATTTAGTTTGTTTACTTTATTTTATTTTTTGATTAATAGTTTTACAAATTAAGTAGATTTTTTCTCATTTGTCGTTAATATGCATTTAAAAGCAATTGTTGTTTGATTTTCCTGTTAATCGCTAAACATGGACAAATATGACAACATGGAAATTATTTTCTTGTCACTTTCATTCCAATGAATATCATTACAACTCAATTTGCATAGATATCGACGAATGTGCTTCCGGTCCGTGTATGGCTAATGAAGATTGTACTGATGGAGTGAACATGTATACTTGTGCGTGTTCTGCTGGTTATGCTGGGTCTCCGTGTGCAGGTAAGCTATCAAGTCAAGGCAGATTAAATGCAAACACCTATGACATAAAGCAAATGCTCCTTTCTCATCAAGACATTATAGATACCTAGTCTTTCATGCTTCGTATCAGAGTCAAATTCAACTCACGGCTTGCATCTCCACTTGATCAACAGTGAAAAGTTTCAGAGTTAATTTATTTTAATGGCCTTTTTTTAGTTGATTCCCAGCGATGGCCTGACGTAAAAAGTTAAAGAATCATTTTATCTTCCCAAATTACAAAAATGTGAATCAAGCTACAGTGTCGAACATAAATGACAAGGTTGACAAATTGTTAGGCTACCCCGGGTCCTATCGCTAAAAATAGTCCAATCCGTCACAAAATTATTTTTCACTCTTTCTTTTATAACACAAGATAGAGCTATTCAATGAAATCAGCACTATTATTCAAGCCCCTTGATTTTCATGAGACAAGTTGCTGAAAATGTACTCCAAACTACAATTAATTAGCAATCTACATCCATAACCTTATGAACAATTTTAAAAATGAACACTTATTTTTAGTTTATTGCAACAAACGTGCAAAACAAAGCTTTCATTCTTATCATACAATACTTTTAAACCTGATGGTACTTGCTAATTTGTTTAGAATATACCCTTTCAGTGAAACAAATGTTCAAGTAGTTGACTGTTTAGAAAGGATGGAAACCTCAACCCACCGCAATTTGTTGAAATATATTCAAGGAATGTATAAAGCTATGGTGGATCGGGGAAGGGTGAATCGACCGCGGTCCTCCCCCTTCTTTAGCGGGGGCCTGAAAAAGGGAGGAAAGGGTAAAAAGAAAAGATAAGACAAAGAAAAAAAGAAAAGAGGGAGAAAGATATTGGGAGGAAGCGAAACGGAAAAAAAAGAAGAACATAAAACTTAACTCTAAACATACAGATTACATTGCAGATGAGTTGCAATAGGTTCAACGTGTGCCTAAGAAGACTTCAGATAAAAGTAGAACAGTAATACAAAAAATTAAATGCAGTTCTATGAAAGAGAAAGAGAGACGGTTTGTAATGAAATGAATGGGGGACTGTTTGAATTTCAAGAAGAAAATAACAATTGCTGGGGCTGGGGCTCCAGAAATGTTCGTTTGTTACATGGACTTAGATTTGATTTCTCTCACAAACAACTTAATTTCATTTTACTATGTAGAGTGAAGAACATTTTGATACAGTTATCAGCTGTTTATTAGGTGAGATTTCTGCCAGGAGAAAGTATTCATAACCCTCGTCATGCCTAGGAATAGCCAATCTAAGCCACGCGACTCGGCCTCCGGTAAGTCTGCATCTGTGTCCGTGCATGTACCAGCGCAAGCTGAGCTGTGCGATGGTTTGCCGCAGCCGGTGCCTTGCAACTCAGATGCCCGTGCCACGGGCTCTGATTTTGAGCAGTTCGTGCGTCGGGGCATAACTAACATTCAATCTAAGCTAGATGGTTTTGAGTCTGCCCTGGAATTTCAAGCCACCCGCACAACTGATCTTGAGCAACGTGTTCAGCCTCTTGAGCAGAAGGTCGATTCTATGGAGAAGAAACTTGAAAATCTCCACATCCAAATCCATAAAGCCGAGGAGGCAGAAAATAAACTTGAAAGATTCTCAAGGAGAAATAACTTAAGGATCGTCGGCCTGGCGGAGGATATTGGAGAAAAGCCTGATGGGAAAGTTGCCACTTTGCTGTTAAAGTACTTTGGGATGCAAAATCCACAAATTGAGCGAGCACACAGAGACGGGAAAGCAATTGATGGGAGGCCGAGACATATGTTATTCAAATTACTGTCTTTTCAGGACAAGCGGCACATCATGTCTCTCAAGCGCCAGAAGCTAAAGGATGCTCCCTTCTACATCGTGGATGACTTCACTAAACAGGACAGGGATGAGAAGAATAAGTGGAAGAAGGAAGTGGCAGAGGCATATCGCGCTGGGACATTCCTTCACTTTTCTGCAGGGAAGTGGCGTTCTCGAGGGGGTGCCCCTGCTGTTTTCTATCAAGCTGCCACTGATCTTGCCCATGCATCTTAATATCACGACCGTCAATTCATGAGCTCGATGTTTCATTAGGCTTGACTGTGTTTATCTGTGATCTCAACTCTATTGTTTTGTTTCTTTGCATCTAATTCATAGCATTCCTTTGAATTTTCCAGGTACTTCTTTAACCTCTTTTTCTACTTGGTTGGATATTTAACCAGTGAGTAAAACGACCAATCTGATCTCTTCACATGTGAATGATGTGAGTCATAATGAATGTATGTTAAACAGTCTGTAGACCTCTATATGTATTATGTACGCTAGAGAAAATCATTATTTTTCTTAGGTTGATTCTGGGCCCCAGAAGCAACCCACGTTTTTTTTTTTTTTGCTGTTACTTGTTAGTTTTTTTCCTCTGTAAATGAGTCTTTTTTCCTTACTCATTTTGAGCCGGAAAGTTTGTAAATATGTTAACACATCACATTTGTGTACAGTTGATGCTTGCCCATGCGGAAAGGATGGCTTTTAACATCTCTGTCAATTATGTGTATGTCTTTTTTTCCCCTTTTGTGCTATTGCTAAATCCAGTTACTTTCTTTATAACCACAGATCTATGTGCAGATTTTAGTCAAGGTTATGATGCCTCAGGTTAATGCTACTCAATTGAGCCACACTCAGTCTGATGATAATATTGTTGCAGAGTTGAATATGAATGCAACACATTTTGAATATATGTTGAATGACGAGGTTGAAGCTACAGTGCACGACTCAAAATATTTTACTGAAAAACAATTTTCTGAACATTTAGAAAACTGTCCTGTCAATGAAACGTCCTTTTTGCACTTTAATGTGCGTAGCATGAATGCAAATTTTGACAGGCTTTCCTTGTTTTTGGACACTTTTCAGGATAAGTACCCAATAATTGGAATCACTGAAACTTGGTTTTCTAGTCATCCAACTGCCATGTACGATCTTCCTAGGTATCAACTAATCACTAATGATCGACAAAGCAGATCCGGTGGTGGTGTAGCAATGTATATTCCCATTTCATTTGAGTGTCATACAAAAACAGAATTGTACATTATGAATGATTCACTAGAATCTCTATTTGTTGAGATTATAATTCCTGGAGAAAAAAACTTGTTAGTGGGAGTAGTCTATAGGCCACCAAATGGTGATGTGAATGAATTTATTGAAGAATTGTCTAACACTCTTTCAAGCCCATTATCCAGAAATAAAAAAATAATTATTATGGGTGATTTTAATATAAATTTATCAAGTTATGATCACGATAACTCTGTTAATAATTTTGATGATACTTTAAGTACATTTTCTTTGATTCCTCTGATTAATAAGCCAGCTAGAGTAGCAGATAACTCACAAACCCTAATTGACAATATTTTCACCAATTTGCACCCTATTCCCACTGCTGGTATAATAGTGGCCGATATATCGGATCATTTCCCTATATTTGCTAGAACATCTTTAGCATTAAGGAGTTCTTGTACTGAATCCTGTGATAAGTTAACACGGAAATTCACTCAGGGAAATATAAGAAAATTTAAGAGAGAATTGGAAACTGTTGAATGGAACAAAGTTTTATGTGAAACAGAAGTTGATAAGTCTTTTGATAAATTCATGGATATAATGGTGTTATCTTATGACAGATGCTTTCCCTTGGTGCAAAGAAGTAAGCAAGAATATAAAAGAGTACCTCGTATGCCATGGGTCACTAAGTCTTTACTCAGGTCAATAAATAAAAAGAATCGTTTGTTTTGTAGATACAAAGCAAAGCAGACTGGTGTAGCCAAGCTTAAGTATACTAACTATAGAAATATATTGACTTCTGCTCTGCGCCAAGCAAAGAAAGACTATTATCAATTTCAATTCCAGTCTACGTGTAATAATGTTAAAGGTACATGGAAAGTTATTCGAAATGTCTTGAAAACCAATCCTAAACTACAGAGTATTACAAAACTCACCTGGAAGGATGGTCTTATTGAAGACAAGAAACTTATGTGTGAAGCATTTAATGAATATTTTTCTAACATTGGTGCTACTCTGTCTAGCTCCATACCTGATATACAGGAAACCTATGGAAATTATTTAATCAGTCCAAATGAAAAGTCTTTATTTTTTGTTCCTGTAGTGAATTCTGAGGTTATAGATGTTGTAAGTGGCTTGAAAAGGAAGAAGAGCCCTGGATACGATGGTATAACTAATGATTTGATAAAAGAAGTAATTTCATTTGTAGTCGTACCTCTCACTCCCATTTATAACTTGTCTTTAATGCATGGAATTGTTCCTAAAAAAATGAAAATAGCTAAAGTTGTGCATATATATAAAAAAGGGAACCCTGTAGAAACTGGTAATTATATACCAATTTCTCTACTTACTGTCTTCTCCAAGATTTTGGAAAAGCTTGTATATATTAGATTGATAAAGTTTTTGAAGTCGTGTCAAGTTTTCTCAAATTCTCAGTTTGGTTTTCGCGAGAAACACACAACTTCTCATGCTGTTTTATGTCTTTTAGACAAAATATCTTCGGCACTTGATAAACACCTCCATACGGTTGGTATATTTTTGGATTATTCCAAAGCTTTTGATACGGTGAACCATAATATTTTGTTGCACAAGCTCTCTTATTATGGGGTAAGAGGACCTGCACTCGAATGGTTTAGAAGTTATCTTAGTAACAGACAGCAATTTGTGCAGCTCGGCGAAATTTGTTCAGATATGTTACCCGTCACGTGTGGAGTACCTCAAGGTTCCCTTTTGGGTCCCCTGCTTTTTATTTTATATGTAAATGATTTTCCAAAATCCTCAGAGACGTTTTCTTTTTTGCTATTTGCAGACGATACAAGTGTATTCTGTTCCCATAGAAACTTAAATACTCTTTTAGAAACTGTAAATAGAGAGCTTTGTGTATTGACTAAATGGATTCATGCAAATAAACTGTCACTAAACTTAATAAAAACTAAACATATGTTATTCAGTAATAGTGAAACAGTAATGCCTGGTAATGTAGTCTTTGATCAGGTAAATATTGAAAAGGTCTCATTTATTAAATTTTTAGGTCTCCACATTGATGATAAATTGACTTGGAAGATGCATACTACTCATTTAAGTAAAGTGCTCTCTAGAAATGTTGGTATGATCAACAAATTGAAGTTTGTATTCCCAAGAAAAGTACTTAGCATGTTGTACTGTTCCTTAATTTTGCCATACTTAAATTATGGTGTGCTAGCCTGGGGTGCCTCAGCCAAATCCTACTTAAATAAAATTCTGCTCATTCAAAAGAGAGCAGTGAGAATTATTTCGGCAGCTGATTGGCGTGCTCACACTGACAAGCTATTTTACGAAAATAAAATGCTGAAGGTAAAAGATATATATTTTCTATATCTGGGATATCTTATGTATCAGTTGGAGAAGGGTGAAGCTCCCATGTCAATAGCATCTATTTTTGTAAAGAATAACCAAATACACAAATACTCTACTAGGCAGGCTGCCTTATACCATGTATCATCAGCTAGAACTCAGCTTAGGATTAATACACTTGCACATACTGGACCAAAGTATTGGAACTCTTTAGACTGTTCTATTAGGCAGTCTGTAAGCTCTTCTGTCTTCAAACGTAAGCTGAAATTTCATCTACTGTACACTTACAGTGAATAGATCTGATTTTTATTAGTATTCAATATAGGTAACTGGAATAGCATTGTCCCCCCCCCCCCGTGTTGTACATTATCCTCCTTCCCCTATTTCTTTACTTTTCCATTATCTTTATTCTGTTTTCTTTTTTAGTCTACCATATTTTGTAAATTAGTAGTAGATCTGATATTTATTTATAGTCTGTATAGGTAACTAGATTAGTATTGGTCCCCCTCCCCCTGTAATATAACCTACTTCTTTAAAAAAAAAAAGTTGTTTCTGTAAAGGTGATCTGTGTTTTAACAAGCTGTGCTTTTTTAACAGACCACCTCTTTTTCCACATTTGTTAAAGTCTTTATAACTGTTTCATTGTTAATGTTTTTATGCTAGTTTTCGATGAACTTGTTACTACTGTTACTGAATGAAATGTTTTTTTTTATGCAAGTGGAAAGAAATAAACAAATCTTGAATCTTGAAGGTTCTAGATTAATTGTTAGACTTAATTAAGAGCGTCCGGTGGCTCCTTCCCCTGCATAGACAACTGACAACTTAGGCCTCTGCCGCTGCAACACGACAGGGGCCCTCTGGGTCATTCTGGGGTGTTTTGGAGTCCTGGACCTTAACCGAAAAGATAGAAATCGTTTCCAAGACAAACCTTTATTCTATAAAATTGTCCTTAGGAGAGAGTGTGTATGTATGTGTGACAAAGAATTGCTTCCCAACAATATAAACCAATAGGGTCAGTGAAAATTTTAAGGGATGGATTAACTTTTTTAAATGCAAATTTCAAGACGGCTATCATAAAGGTTCTGAATTAATAAAACTCCAGAGCGTCTGTATACTCGTCATTCATGCATTTCCACGTGAACGGTGAATGTAAAGATTCGTTAATTTAAGGATGTTTTCTCTTCTCTCTGCAGTTGATTGTTCTGCTCCCAACACATGTATGAACGGAGGTACCTGTAATGGTGAGGGCAATGCATGTCAATGTAATGCAGGATATACTGGAGAGTTGTGTGGTACAGGTATGAACATATATTGTAACATCAGGATTTAACGTCGACAATTTTTTTTGGTTTCAAAGGAAATTATTAGACACGTAATGATAACGATGATTTAAGCCATGATATACGGTAATATCGTGCACTTAACCCCTTTATATATGTCAAAATCAACATTTTAACTTTCAAACACTAACCCCCCCCCCCTCCCTTCCGAATATGGAGTGGGCTAAAGTTTGGGGAAAGCCTACCTAAAAAACCTACCTGTCATTATTTAAAATGTCAGTTTTTACTTAATTTTCCTGTTATTTTCTTTTTCTTCGAGGGCCTCTTCAAGGATTGTCAGTGACAACGAAACTTGTTTTTTTTATAGATTTTTACTTCTTCTTAGTCCATGAATTTGGAAATTAATCGGACGAATTCAAGATAGATTTAGTTTGTTTACTTTATTTTATTTTTTGATTAATAGTTTTACAAATTAAGTAGATTTTTTCTCATTTGTCGTTAATATGCATTTAAAAGCAATTGTTGTTTGATTTTCCTGTTAATCGCTAAATATGGACAAATATGACAACATGGAAATTATTTTCTTGTCACTTTCATTCCAATGAATATCATTACAACTCAATTTGCATAGATATCGACGAATGTGCTTCCGGTCCGTGTATGGCTAATGAAGATTGTACTGATGGAGTGAACATGTATACTTGTGCGTGCTCTGCTGGTTATGCTGGGTCTCCGTGTGCAGGTAAGCTATCAAGTCAAGGCAGATTAAATGCAAACACCTATGACATAAAGCAAATGCTCCTTTCTCATCAAGACATTATAGATACCTAGTCTTTCATGCTTCGTATCAGAGTCAAATTCAACTCACGGCTTGCATCTCCACTTGATCAACAGTGAAAAGTTTCAGTGTTAATTTATTTTAATGGCCTTTTTTTAGTTGATTCCCAGCGATGGCCTGACGTAAAAAGTTAAAGAATCATTTTATCTTCCCAAATTACAAAAATGTGAATCAAGCTACAGTGTCGAACATAAATGACAAGGTTGACAAATTGTTAGGCTACCCCGGGTCCTATCGCTAAAAATAGTCCAATCCGTCACAAAATTATTTTTCACTCTTTCTTTTATAACACAAGATAGAGCTATTCAATAAAATCAGCACTATTATTCAAGCCCCTTGATTTTCATGAGACAAGTCGCTGAAAATGTACTCCAAACTACAATTAATTAGCAATCTACATTCATAACCTTATGAACAATTTTAAAAATGAACACTTATTTCTAGTTTATTGCAACAAACGTGCAAAACAAAGCTTTCATTCTTATCATACAATACTTTTAAACCTGATGGTACTTGCTAATTAGTTTAGAATATACCCTTTCAGTGAAACAAATGTTCAAGTAGTTGACTGTTTAGAAAGGATGGAAACCTCAACCCACCGCAATTTGTTGAAATATATTCAAGGAATGTATAAAGCTATGGTGGATCGGGGAAGGGTGAATCGACCGCGGTCCTCCCCCTTCTTTAGCGGGGGCCTGAAAAAGGGAGGAAAGGGTAAAAAGAAAAGAAGATAAGACAAAGAAAAAAAAGATAGAGGGAGAAAGATATTGGGAGGGAGCGAAACGGAAAAAAAAGAGAAGAACATCAAACTTAACTCTAAACATACAGATTACATTGCAGATGAGTTGCAATAGGTTCAACGTGTGCCTACGAAGACTTCAGATGAAAGTAGAACAGTAATACAAAAAATTAAATGCAGTTCTATGAAAGAGAAAGAGAGACGGTTTGTAATGAAATGAATGGGGGACTGTTTGAATTTCAAGAAGAAAATAACAATTTTCTACTCGTTGAGGGCAATCTTGAAGGTTCTAGATTAATTGTTAGACTTAATTAAGAGCGTCCGGTGGCTCCTTCCCCTGCATAGACAACTGACAACTTAGGCCTCTGCCGCTGCAACATGACAGGGGCCCTCTGGGTCATTCTGGGGTGTTTTGTAGTCCTGGACCTTAACCGAAAAGATAGAAATCGTTTCCAAGACAAACCTTTATTCTATAAAATTGTCCTTAGGAGAGAGTGTGTATGTATGTGTGACAAAGAATTGCTTCCCAACAATATAAACCAATAGGGTCAGTGAAAATTTTAAGGGATGGATTAACTTTTTTAAATGCAAATTTCAAGACGGCTATCATAAAGGTTCTGAATTAATAAAACTCCAGAGCGTCTGAATACTCGTCATTCATGCATTTCCACGTAAACGGTGAATATAAAGATTCGTTAATTTAAGGATGTTTTCTCTTCTCTCTGCAGTTGATTGTTCTGCTCCCAACACATGTATGAACGGAGGTACCTGTAATGATGAGGGCAATGCATGTCAATGTAATGCAGGATATACTGGAGAGTTGTGTGGTACAGGTATGAACATATATTGTAACATCAGGATTTAACGTCGACAAATCTTTTGGTTTCAAAGGAAATTATTAGACACGTAATGATAACGATGATTTAAGCCATGATATACGGTAATATCGTGCACTTAACCCCTTTATATATGTCAAAATCAACATTTTAACTTTCAAACACTAACCCACCCCCCCCCCCCCCCTCCCTCCCGAAAATGGAGTGGGCTAAAGTTTGGGGAAAGCCTACCTAAAAAACCTACCTGTCATTATTTAAAATGTCAGTTTTTACTTAATTTTCCTGTTATTTTCTTTTTCTTCGAGGGCCTCTTCAAGGATTGTCAGTGACAACGAAACTTGTTTTTTTTTTATAGATTTTTACTTCTTCTTAGTCCATGAATTTGGAAATTAATCGGACGAATTCAAGATAGATTTAGTTTGTTTACTTTATTTTATTTTTTGATTAATAGTTTTACAAATTAAGTAGATTTTTTCTCATTTGTCGTTAATATGCATTTAAAAGCAATTGTTGTTTGATTTTCCTGTTAATCGCTAAATATGGACAAATATGACAACATGGAAATTATTTTCTTGTCACTTTCATTCCAATGAATATCATTACAACTCAATTTGCATAGATATCGACGAATGTGCTTCCGGTCCGTGTATGGCTAATGAAGATTGTACTGATGGAGTGAACATGTATACTTGTGCGTGCTCTGCTGGTTATGCTGGGTCTCCGTGTGCAGGTAAGCTATCAAGTCAAGGCAGATTAAATGCAAACACCTATGACATAAAGCAAATGCTCCTTTCTCATCAAGACATTATAGATACCTAGTCTTTCATGCTTCGTATCAGAGTCAAATTCAACTCACGGCTTGCATCTCCACTTGATCAACAGTGAAAAGTTTCAGTGTTAATTTATTTTAATGGCCTTTTTTTAGTTGATTCCCAGCGATGGCCTGACGTAAAAAGTTAAAGAATCATTTTATCTTCCCAAATTACAAAAATGTGAATCAAGCTACACTGTCGAACATAAATGACAAGGTTGACAAATTGTTAGGCTACCCCGGGTCCTATCGCTAAAAATAGTCCAATCCGTCACAAAATTATTTTTCACTCTTTCTTTTATAACACAAGATAGAGCTATTCAATAAAATCAGCACTATTATTCAAGCCCCTTGATTTTCATGAGACAAGTCGCTGAAAATCTACTCCAAACTACAATTAATTAGCAATCTACATTCATAACCTTATGAACAATTTTAAAAATGAACACTTATTTTTAGTTTATTGCAACAAACGTGCAAAACAAAGCTTTCATTCTTATCATACAATACTTTTAAACCTGATGGTACTTGCTAATTAGTTTAGAATATACCCTTTCAGTGAAACAAATGTTCAAGTAGTTGACTGTTTAGAAAGGATGGAAACCTCAACCCACCGCAATTTGTTGAAATATATTCAATGAATGTATACAGCTATGGTGGATCGGGGAAGGGTGAATCGACCGCGGTCCCCCCCCCCCTTCTTTAGCGGGGGCCTGAAAAAGGGAGGAAAGGGTAAAAAGAAAAGAAGATAAGACAAAGAAAAAAAAGATAGAGGGAGAAAGATATTGGGAGGAAGCGAAACGGAAAAAAAAGAGAAGAACATCAAACTTAACTCTAAACATACAGATTACATTGCAGATGAGTTGCAATAGGTTCAACGTGTGCCTACGAAGACTTCAGATGAAAGTAGAACAGTAATACAAAAAATTAAATGCAGTTCTATGAAAGAGAAAGAGAGACGGTTTGTAATGAAATGAATGGGGGACTGTTTGAATTTCAAGAAGAAAATAACAATTTTCTACTCGTTGAGGGCAATCTTGAAGGTTCTAGATTAATTGTTAGACTTAATTAAGAGCGTCCGGTGGCTCCTTCCCCTGCATAGACAACTGACAACATAGGCCTCTGCCGCTGCAACATGACAGGGGCCCTCTGGGTCATTCTGGGGTGTTTTGTAGTCCTGGACCTTAACCGAAAAGATAGAAATCGTTTCCAAGACAAACCTTTATTCTATAAAATTGTCCTTAGGAGAGAGTGTGTATGTATGAGTGACAAAGAATTGCTTCCCAACAATATAAACCAATAGGGTCAGTGAAAATTTTAAGGGATGGATTAACTTTTTTAAATGCAAATTTCAAGACGGCTATCATAAAGGTTCTGAATTAATGAAACTCCAGAGCGTCTGTATACTCGTCATTCATGCATTTCCACGTGAACGGTGAATGTAAAGATTCGTTAATTTAAGGATGTTTTCTCTTCTCTCTGCAGTTGATTGTTCTGCTCCCAACACATGTATGAACGGAGGTACCTGTAATGGTGAGGGCAATGCATGTCAATGTAATGCAGGATATACTGGAGAGTTGTGTGGTACAGGTATGAACATATGTTGTAACATCAGGATTTAACGTCGACAAATCTTTTGGTTTCAAAGGAAATTATTAGACACGTAATGATAACGATGATTTAAGCCATGATATACGGTAATATCGTGCACTTAACCCCTTTATATATGTCAAAATCAACATTTTAACTTTCAAACACTAACCCACCCCCCCCCCCTCCCTCCCGAAAATGGAGTGGGCTAAAGTTTGGGGAAAGCCTACCTAAAAAACCTACCTGTCATTATTTAAAATTTCAGTTTTTACTTAATTTTCCTGTTATTTTCTTTTTCTTCGAGGGCCTCTTCAAGGATTGTCAGTGACAACGAAACTTGTTTTTTTTATAGATTTTTACTTCTTCTTAGTCCATGAATTTGGAAATTAATCGGACGAATGCAAGATAGATTTAGTTTGTTTACTTTATTTTATTTTTTGATTAATAGTTTTACAAATTAAGTAGATTTTTTTCTCATTTGTCGTTAATATGCATTTAAAAGCAATTGTTGTTTGATTTTCCTGTTAATCGCTAAATATGGACAAATATGACAACATGGAAATTATTTTCTTGTCACTTTCATTCCAATGAATATCATTACAACTCAATTTGCATAGATATCGACGAATGTGCTTCCGGTCCGTGTATGGCTAATGAAGATTGTACTGATGGAGTGAACATGTATACTTGTGCGTGCTCTGCTGGTTATGCTGGGTCTCCGTGTGCAGGTAAGCTATCAAGTCAAGGCAGATTAAATGCAAACACCTATGACATAAAGCAAATGCTCCTTTCTCATCAAGACATTATAGATACCTAGTCTTTCATGCTTCGTATCAGAGTCAAATTCAACTCACGGCTTGCATCTCCACTTGATCAACAGTGAAAAGTTTCAGTGTTAATTTATTTTAATGGCCTTTTTTTAGTTGATTCCCAGCGATGGCCTGACGTAAAAAGTTAAAGAATCATTTTATCTTCCCAAATTACAAAAATGTGAATCAAGCTACAGTGTCGAACATAAATGACAAGGTTGACAAATTGTTAGGCTACCCCGGGTCCTATCGCTAAAAAATAGTCCAATCCGTCACAAAATTATTTTTCACTCTTTCTTTTATAACACAAGATAGAGCTATTCAATAAAATCAGCACTATTATTCAAGCCCCTTGATTTTCATGAGACAAGTCGCTGAAAATGTACTCCAAACTACAATTAATTAGCAATCTACATTCATAACCTTATGAACAATTTTAAAAATGAACACTTATTTTTAGTTTATTGCAACAAACGTGCAAAACAAATATTTTGGTTTCAAAGGAAATTATTAGACACGTAATGATAACGACGGATGATTTAAGCCATGATATACGGTAATATCGTGCACTTAACCCCTTTATATATGTCAAAATCAACATTTTAACTTTCAAACACTAACCCACCCCCCCCCCCCCTCCCTCCCGAAAATGGAGTGGGCTAAAGTTTGGGGAAAGCCTACCTAAAAAACCTACCTGTCATTATTTAAAATGTCAGTTTTTACTTAATTTTCCTGTTATTTTCTTTTTCTTCGAGGGCCTCTTCAAGGATTGTCAGTGACAACGAAACTTGTTTTTTTTTATAGATTTTTACTTCTTCTTAGTCCATGAATTTGGAAATTAATCGGACGAATTCAAGATAGATTTAGTTTGTTTACTTTATTTTATTTTTTGATTAATAGTTTTACAAATTAAGTAGATTTTTTTCTCATTTGTCGTTAATATGCATTTAAAAGCAATTGTTGTTTGATTTTCCTGTTAATCGCTAAATATGGACAAATATGACAACATGGAAATTATTTTCTTGTCACTTTCATTCCAATGAATATCATTACAACTCAATTTGCATAGATATCGACGAATGTGCTTCCGGTCCGTGTATGGCTAATGAAGATTGTACTGATGGAGTGAACATGTATACTTGTGCGTGCTCTGCTGGTTATGCTGGGTCTCCGTGTGCAGGTAAGCTATCAAGTCAAGGCAGATTAAATGCAAACACCTATGACATAAAGCAAATGCTCCTTTCTCATCAAGACATTATAGATACCTAGTCTTTCATGCTTCGTATCAGAGTCAAATTCAACTCACGGCTTGCATCTCCACTTGATCAACAGTGAAAAGTTTCAGTGTTAATTTATTTTAATGGCCTTTTTTTAGTTGATTCCCAGCGATGGCCTGACGTAAAAAGTTAAAGAATCATTTTATCTTCCCAAATTACAAAAATGTGAATCAAGCTACAGTGTCGAACATAAATGACAAGGTTGACAAATTGTTAGGCTACCCCGGGTCCTATCGCTAATAATAGTCCAATCCGTCACAAAATTATTTTTCACTCTTTCTTTTATAACACAAGATAGAGCTATTCAATAAAATCAGCACTATTATTCAAGCCCCTTGATTTTCATGAGACAAGTCGCTGAAAATCTACTCCAAACTACAATTAATTAGCAATCTACATTCATAACCTTATGAACAATTTTAAAAATGAACACTTATTTTTAGTTTATTGCAACAAACGTGCAAAACAAAGCTTTCATTCTTATCATACAATACTTTTAAACCTGATGGTACTTGCTAATTAGTTTAGAATATACCCTTTCAGTGAAACAAATGTTCAAGTAGTTGACTGTTTAGAAAGGATGGAAACCTCAACCCACCGCAATTTGTTGAAATATATTCAATGAATGTATACAGCTATGGTGGATCGGGGAAGGGTGAATCGACCGCGGCCCCCCCCCCTTCTTTAGCGGGGGCCTGAAAAAGGGAGGAAAGGGTAAAAAGAAAAGAAGATAAGACAAAGAAAAAAAAGATAGAGGGAGAAAGATATTGGGAGGAAGCGAAACGGAAAAAAAAAAGAACATCAAACTTAACTCTAAACATACAGATTACATTGCAGATGAATTGCAATAGGTTCAACGTGTGCCTACGAAGACTTCAGATGAAAGTAGAACAGTAATACAAAAAATTAAATGCAGTTCTATGAAAGAGAAAGAGAGACGGTTTGTAATGAAATGAATGGGGGACTGTTTGAATTTCAAGAAGAAAATAACAATTTTCTACTCGTTGAGGGCAATCTTGAAGGTTCTAGATTAATTGTTAGACTTAATTAAGAGCGTCCGGTGGCTCCTTCCCCTGCATAGACAACTGACAACATAGGCCTCTGCCGCTGCAACATGACAGGGGCCCTCTGGGTCATTCTGGGGTGTTTTGTAGTCCTGGACCTTAGCCGAAAAGATAGAAATCGTTTCCAAGACAAACCTTTATTCTATAAAATTGTCCTTAGGAGAGAGTGTGTATGTATGTGTGACAAAGAATTGCTTCCCAACAATATAAACCAATAGGGTCAGTGAAAATTTTAAGGGATGGATTAACTTTTTTAAATGCAAATTTCAAGAAAGCTATCATAAAGGTTCTGAATTAATAAAACTCCAGAGCGTCTGAATACTCGTCATTCATGCATTTCCACGTAAACGGTGAATATAAAGATTCGTTAATTTAAGGATGTTTTCTCTTCTCTCTGCAGTTGATTGTTCTGCTCCCAACACATGTATGAACGGAGGTACCTGTAATGGTGAGGGCAATGCATGTCAATGTAATGCAGGATATACTGGAGAGTTGTGTGGTACAGGTATGAACATATATTGTAACATCAGGATTTAACGTCGACAAATCTTTTGGTTTCAAAGGAAATTATTAGACACGTAATGATAACGACGGATGATTTAAGCCATGATATACGGTAATATCGTGCACTTAACCCCTTTATATATGTCAAAATCAACATTTTAACTTTCAAACACTAACCCATCCCCCCCCCCCCTCCCTCCCGAAAATGGAGTGGGCTAAAGTTTGGGGAAAGCCTACCTAAAAAACCTACCTGTCATTATTTAAAATGTCAGTTTTTACTTAATTTTCCTGTTATTTTCTTTTTCTTCGAGGGCCTCTTCAAGGATTGTCAGTGACAACGAAACTTGTTTTTTTTAATAGATTTTTACTTCTTCTTAGTCCATGAATTTGGAAATTAATCGGACGAATTCAAGATAGATTTAGTTTGTTTACTTTATTTTATTTTTTGATTAATAGTTTTACAAATTAAGTAGATTTTTTCTCATTTGTCGTTAATATGCATTTAAAAGCAATTGTTGTTTGATTTTCCTGTTAATCGCTAAATATGGACAAATATGACAACATGGAAATTATTTTCTTGTCACTTTCATTCCAATGAATATCATTACAACTCAATTTGCATAGATATCGACGAATGTGCTTCCGGTCCGTGTATGGCTAATGAAGATTGTACTGATGGAGTGAACATGTATACTTGTGCGTGCTCTGCTGGTTATGCTGGGTCTCCGTGTGCAGGTAAGCTATCAAGTCAAGGCAGATTAAATGCAAACACCTATGACATAAAGCAAATGCTCCTTTCTCATCAAGACATTATAGATACCTAGTCTTTCATGCTTCGTATCAGAGTCAAATTCAACTCACGGCTTGCATCTCCACTTGATCAACAGTGAAAAGTTTCAGTGTTAATTTATTTTAATGGCCTTTTTTTAGTTGATTCCCAGCGATGGCCTGACGTAAAAAGTTAAAGAATCATTTAATCTTCCCAAATTACAAAAATGTGAATCAAGCTACAGTGTCGAACATAAATGACAAGGTTGACAAATTGTTAGGCTACCCCGGGTCCTATCGCTAAAAATAGTCCAATCCGTCACAAAATTATTTTTCACTCTTTCTTTTATAACACAAGATAGAGCTATTCAATAAAATCAGCACTATTATTCAAGCCCCTTGATTTTCATGAGACAAGTCGCTGAAAATGTACTCCAAACTACAATTAATTAGCAATCTACATTCATAACCTTATGAACAATTTTAAAAATGAACACTTATTTTTAGTTTATTGCAACAAACGTGCAAAACAAATATTTTGGTTTCAAAGGAAATTATTAGACACGTAATGATAACGACGGATGATTTAAGCCATGATATACGGTAATATCGTGCACTTAACCCCTTTATATATGTCAAAATCAACATTTAAACTTTCAAACACTAACCCACCCCCCCCCCCTCCCTCCCGAAAATGGAGTGGGCTAAAGTTTGGGGAAAGCCTACCTAAAAAACCTACCTGTCATTATTTAAAATGTCAGTTTTTACTTAATTTTCCTGTTATTTTCTTTTTCTTCGAGGGCCTCTTCAAGGATTGTCAGTGACAACGAAACTTGTTTTTTTTAATAGATTTTTACTTCTTCTTAGTCCATGAATTTGGAAATTAATCGGACGAATTCAAGATAGATTTAGTTTGTTTACTTTATTTTATTTTTTGATTAATAGTTTTACAAATTAAGTAGATTTTTTCTCATTTGTCGTTAATATGCATTTAAAAGCAATTGTTGTTTGATTTTCCTGTTAATCGCTAAATATGGACAAATATGACAACATGGAAATTATTTTCTTGTCACTTTCATTCCAATGAATATCATTACAACTCAATTTGCATAGATATCGACGAATGTGCTTCCGGTCCGTGTATGGCTAATGAAGATTGTACTGATGGAGTGAACATGTATACTTGTGCGTGCTCTGCTGGTTATGCTGGGTCTCCGTGTGCAGGTAAGCTATCAAGTCAAGGCAGATTAAATGCAAACACCTATGACATAAAGCAAATGCTCCTTTCTCATCAAGACATTATAGATACCTAGTCTTTCATGCTTCGTATCAGAGTCAAATTCAACTCACGGCTTGCATCTCCACTTGATCAACAGTGAAAAGTTTCAGTGTTAATTTATTTTAATGGCCTTTTTTTAGTTGATTCCCAGCGATGGCCTGACGTAAAAAGTTAAAGAATCATTTAATCTTCCCAAATTACAAAAATGTGAATCAAGCTACAGTGTCGAACATAAATGACAAGGTTGACAAATTGTTAGGCTACCCCGGGTCCTATCGCTAAAAATAGTCCAATCCGTCACAAAATTATTTTTCACTCTTTCTTTTATAACACAAGATAGAGCTATTCAATAAAATCAGCACTATTATTCAAGCCCCTTGATTTTCATGAGACAAGTCGCTGAAAATGTACTCCAAACTACAATTAATTAGCAATCTACATTCATAACCTTATGAACAATTTTAAAAATGAACACTTATTTTTAGTTTATTGCAACAAACGTGCAAAACAAATATTTTGGTTTCAAAGGAAATTATTAGACACGTAATGATAACGACGGATGATTTAAGCCATGATATACGGTAATATCGTGCACTTAACCCCTTTATATATGTCAAAATCAACATTTAAACTTTCAAACACTAACCCACCCCCCCCCCCCTCCCTCCCGAAAATGGAGTGGGCTAAAGTTTGGGGAAAGCCTACCTAAAAAACCTACCTGTCATTATTTAAAATGTCAGTTTTTACTTAATTTTCCTGTTATTTTCTTTTTCTTCGAGGGCCTCTTCAAGGATTGTCAGTGACAACGAAACTTGTTTTTTTTAATAGATTTTTACTTCTTCTTAGTCCATGAATTTGGAAATTAATCGGACGAATTCAAGATAGATTTAGTTTGTTTACTTTATTTTATTTTTTGATTAATAGTTTTACAAATTAAGTAGATTTTTTCTCATTTGTCGTTAATATGCATTTAAAAGCAATTGTTGTTTGATTTTCCTGTTAATCGCTAAATATGGACAAATATGACAACATGGAAATTATTTTCTTGTCACTTTCATTCCAATGAATATCATTACAACTCAATTTGCATAGATATCGACGAATGTGCTTCCGGTCCGTGTATGGCTAATGAAGATTGTACTGATGGAGTGAACATGTATACTTGTGCGTGCTCTGCTGGTTATGCTGGGTCTCCGTGTGCAGGTAAGCTATCAAGTCAAGGCAGATTAAATGCAAACACCTATGACATAAAGCAAATGCTCCTTTCTCATCAAGACATTATAGATACCTAGTCTTTCATGCTTCGTATCAGAGTCAAATTCAACTCACGGCTTGCATCTCCACTTGATCAACAGTGAAAAGTTTCAGTGTTAATTTATTTTAATGGCCTTTTTTTAGTTGATTCCCAGCGATGGCCTGACGTAAAAAGTTAAAGAATCATTTAATCTTCCCAAATTACAAAAATGTGAATCAAGCTACAGTGTCGAACATAAATGACAAGGTTGACAAATTGTTAGGCTACCCCGGGTCCTATCGCTAATAATAGTCCAATCCGTCACAAAATTATTTTTCACTCTTTCTTTTATAACACAAGATAGAGCTATTCAATAAAATCAGCACTATTATTCAAGCCCCTTGATTTTCATGAGACAAGTCGCTGAAAATGTACTCCAAACTACAATTAATTAGCAATCTACATTCATAACCTTATGAACAATTTTAAAAATGAACACTTATTTTTAGTTTATTGCAACAAACGTGCAAAACAAATATTTTGGTTTCAAAGGAAATTATTAGACACGTAATGATAACGACGGATGATTTAAGCCATGATATACGGTAATATCGTGCACTTAACCCCTTTATATATGTCAAAATCAACATTTAAACTTTCAAACACTAACCCACCCCCCCCCCCCCCCCCCTCCCGAAAATGGAGTGGGCTAAAGTTTGGGGAAAGCCTACCTAAAAAACCTACCTGTCATTATTTAAAATGTCAGTTTTTACTTAATTTTCCTGTTATTTTCTTTTTCTTCGAGGGCCTCTTCAAGGATTGTCAGTGACAACGAAACTTGTTTTTTTTTATAGATTTTTACTTCTTCTTAGTCCATGAATTTGGAAATTAATCGGACGAATTCAAGATAGATTTAGTTTGTTTACTTTATTTTATTTTTTGATTAATAGTTTTACAAATTAAGTAGATTTTTTCTCATTTGTCGTTAATATGCATTTAAAAGCAATTGTTGTTTGATTTTCCTGTTAATCGCTAAATATGGACAAATATGACAACATGGAAATTATTTTCTTGTCACTTTCATTCCAATGAATATCATTACAACTCAATTTGCATAGATATCGACGAATGTGCTTCCGGTCCGTGTATGGCTAATGAAGATTGTACTGATGGAGTGAACATGTATACTTGTGCGTGCTCTGCTGGTTATGCTGGGTCTCCGTGTGCAGGTAAGCTATCAAGTCAAGGCAGATTAAATGCAAACACCTATGACATAAAGCAAATGCTCCTTTCTCATCAAGACATTATAGATACCTAGTCTTTCATGCTTCGTATCAGAGTCAAATTCAACTCACGGCTTGCATCTCCACTTGATCAACAGTGAAAAGTTTCAGTGTTAATTTATTTTAATGGCCTTTTTTTAGTTGATTCCCAGCGATGGCCTGACGTAAAAAGTTAAAGAATCATTTAATCTTCCCAAATTACAAAAATGTGAATCAAGCTACAGTGTCGAACATAAATGACAAGGTTGACAAATTGTTAGGCTACCCCGGGTCCTATCGCTAATAATAGTCCAATCCGTCACAAAATTATTTTTCACTCTTTCTTTTATAACACAAGATAGAGCTATTCAATAAAATCAGCACTATTATTCAAGCCCCTTGATTTTCATGAGACAAGTCGCTGAAAATGTACTCCAAACTACAATTAATTAGCAATCTACATTCATAACCTTATGAACAATTTTAAAAATGAACACTTATTTTTAGTTTATTGCAACAAACGTGCAAAACAAATATTTTGGTTTCAAAGGAAATTATTAGACACGTAATGATAACGACGGATGATTTAAGCCATGATATACGGTAATATCGTGCACTTAACCCCTTTATATATGTCAAAATCAACATTTTAACTTTCAAACACTAACCCACCCCCCCCCCCCCCCCCTCCCTCCCGAAAATGGAGTGGGCTAAAGTTTGGGGAAAGCCTACCTAAAAAACCTACCTGTCATTATTTAAAATGTCAGTTTTTACTTAATTTTCCTGTTATTTTCTTTTTCTTCGAGGGCCTCTTCAAGGATTGTCAGTGACAACGAAACTTGTTTTTTTTTATAGATTTTTACTTCTTCTTAGTCCATGAATTTGGAAATTAATCGGACGAATTCAAGATAGATGTAGTTTGTTTACTTTATTTTATTTTTTGATTAATAGTTTTACAAATTAAGTAGATTTTTTTCTCATTTGTCGTTAATATGCATTTAAAAGCAATTGTTGTTTGATTTTCCTGTTAATCGCTAAATATGGACAAATATGACAACATGGAAATTATTTTCTTGTCACTTTCATTCCAATGAATATCATTACAACTCAATTTGCATAGATATCGACGAATGTGCTTCCGGTCCGTGTATGGCTAATGAAGATTGTACTGATGGAGTGAACATGTATACTTGTGCGTGCTCTGCTGGTTATGCTGGGTCTCCGTGTGCAGGTAAGCTATCAAGTCAAGGCAGATTAAATGCAAACACCTATGACATAAAGCAAATGCTCCTTTCTCATCAAGACATTATAGATACCTAGTCTTTCATGCTTCGTATCAGAGTCAAATTCAACTCACGGCTTGCATCTCCACTTGATCAACAGTGAAAAGTTTCAGTGTTAATTTTTATTTAATGGCCTTTTTTTAGTTGATTCCCAGCGATGGCCTGACGTAAAAAGTTAAAGAATCATTTTATCTTCCCAAATTACAAAAATGTGAATCAAGCTACAGTGTCGAACATAAATGACAAGGTTGACAAATTGTTAGGCTACCCCGGGTCCTATCGCTAAAAATAGTCCAATCCGTCACAAAATTATTTTTCACTCTTTCTTTTATAACACAAGATAGAGCTATTCAATAAAATCAGCACTATTATTCAAGCCCCTTGATTTTCATGAGACAAGTCGCTGAAAATGTACTCCAAACTACAATTAATTAGCAATCTACATTCATAACCTTATGAACAATTTTAAAAATGAACACTTATTTTTAGTTTATTGCAACAAACGTGCAAAACAAAGCTTTCATTCTTATCATACAATACTTTTAAACCTGATGGTACTTGCTAATTAGTTTAGAATATACCCTTTCAGTGAAACAAATGTTCAAGTAGTTGACTGTTTAGAAAGGATGGAAACCTCAACCCACCGCAATTTGTTGAAATATATTCAATGAATGTGTACAGCTATGGTGGATCGGGGAAGGGTGAATCGACCGCGGTCCCCCCCCCCTTCTTTAGCGGGGGCCTGAAAAAGGGAGGAAAGGGTAAAAAGAAAAGAAGATAAGACAAAGAAAAAAAAGATAGAGGCAGAAAGATATTGGGAGGAAGCGAAACGGAAAAAAAAAGAACATCAAACTTAACTCTAAACATACAGATTACATTGCAGATGAGTTGCAATAGGTTCAACGTGTGCCTACGAAGACTTCAGATGAAAGTAGAACAGTAATACAAAAAATTAAATGCAGTTCTATGAAAGAGAAAGAGAGACGGTTTGTAATGAAATGAATGGGGGACTGTTTGAATTTCAAGAAGAAAATAACAATTTTCTACTCGTTGAGGGCAATCTTGAAGGTTCTAGATTAATTGTTAGACTTAATTAAGAGCGTCCGGTGGCTCCTTCCCCTGCATAGACAACTGACAACATAGGCCTCTGCCGCTGCAACATGACAGGGGCCCTTTGGGTCATTCTGGGGTGTTTTGTAGTCCTGGACCTTAACCGAAAAGATAGAAATCGTTTCCAAGACAAACCTTTATTCTATAAAATTGTCCTTAGGAGAGAGTGTGTATGTATGTGTGACAAAGAATTGCTTCCCAACAATATAAACCAATAGGGTCAGTGAAAATTTTAAGGGATGGATTAACTTTTTTAAATGCAAATTTCAAGACGGCTATCATAAAGGTTCTGAATTAATAAAACTCCAGAGCGTCTGAATACTCGTCATTCATGCATTTCCACGTAAACGGTGAATATAAAGATTCGTTAATTTAAGGATGTTTTCTCTTCTCTCTGCAGTTGATTGTTCTGCTCCCAACACATGTATGAACGGAGGTACCTGTAATGGTGAGGGCAATGCATGTCAATGTAATGCAGGATATACTGGAGAGTTGTGTGGTACAGGTATGAACATATGTTGTAACATCAGGATTTAACGTCGACAAATCTTTTGGTTTCAAAGGAAATTATTAGACACGTAATGATAACGATGATTTAAGCCATGATATACGGTAATATCGTGCACTTAACCCCTTTATATATGTCAAAATCAACATTTTAACTTTCAAACACTAACCCACCCCCCCCCCCTCCCTCCCGAAAATGGAGTGGGCTAAAGTTTGGGGAAAGCCTACCTAAAAAACCTACCTGTCATTATTTAAAATGTCAGTTTTTACTTAATTTTCCTGTTATTTTCTTTTTCTTCGAGGGCCTCTTCAAGGATTGTCAGTGACAACGAAACTTGTTTTTTTTTTATAGATTTTTACTTCTTCTTAGTCCATGAATTTGGAAATTAATCGGACGAATGCAAGATAGATTTAGTTTGTTTACTTTATTTTATTTTTTGATTAATAGTTTTGCAAATTAAGTAGATTTTTTTCTCATTTGTCGTTAATATGCATTTAAAAGCAATTGTTGTTTGATTTTCCTGTTAATCGCTAAATATGGACAAATATGACAACATGGAAATTATTTTCTTGTCACTTTCATTCCAATGAATATCATTACAACTCAATTTGCATAGATATCGACGAATGTGCTTCCGGTCCGTGTATGGCTAATGAAGATTGTACTGATGGAGTGAACATGTATACTTGTGCGTGCTCTGCTGGTTATGCTGGGTCTCCGTGTGCAGGTAAGCTATCAAGTCAAGGCAGATTAAATGCAAACACCTATGACATAAAGCAAATGCTCCTTTCTCATCAAGACATTATAGATACCTAGTCTTTCATGCTTCGTATCAGAGTCAAATTCAACTCACGGCTTGCATCTCCACTTGATCAACAGTGAAAAGTTTCAGTGTTAATTTATTTTAATGGCCTTTTTTTAGTTGATTCCCAGCGATGGCCTGACGTAAAAAGTTAAAGAATCATTTTATCTTCCCAAATTACAAAAATGTGAATCAAGCTACAGTGTCGAACATAAATGACAAGGTTGACAAATTGTTAGGCTACCCCGGGTCCTATCGCTAAAAATAGTCCAATCCGTCACAAAATTATTTTTCACTCTTTCTTTTATAACACAAGATAGAGCTATTCAATAAAATCAGCACTATTATTCAAGCCCCTTGATTTTCATGAGACAAGTCGCTGAAAATGTACTCCAAACTACAATTAATTAGCAATCTACATTCATAACCTTATGAACAATTTTAAAAATGAACACTTATTTTTAGTTTATTGCAACAAACGTGCAAAACAAAGCTTTCATTCTTATCATACAATACTTTTAAACCTGATGGTACTTGCTAATTAGTTTAGAATATACCCTTTCAGTGAAACAAATGTTCAAGTAGTTGACTGTTTAGAAAGGATGGAAACCTCAACCCACCGCAATTTGTTGAAATATATTCAATGAATGTATACAGCTATGGTGGATCGGGGAAGGGTGAATCGACCGCGGTCCCCCCCCCCCTTCTTTAGCGGGGGCCTGAAAAAGGGAGGAAAGGGTAAAAAGAAAAGAAGATAAGACAAAGAAAAAAAAGATAGAGGCAGAAAGATATTGGGAGGAAGCGAAACGGAAAAAAAAAAAAGAACATCAAACTTAACTCTAAACATACAGATTACATTGCAGATGAGTTGCAATAGGTTCAACGTGTGCCTACGAAGACTTCAGATGAAAGTAGAACAGTAATACAAAAAATTAAATGCAGTTCTATGAAAGAGAAAGAGAGACGGTTTGTAATGAAATGAATGGGGGACTGTTTGAATTTCAAGAAGAAAATAACAATTTTCTACTCGTTGAGGGCAATCTTGAAGGTTCTAGATTAATTGTTAGACTTAATTAAGAGCGTCCGGTGGCTCCTTCCCCTGCATAGACAACTGACAACTTAGGCCTCTGCCGCTGCAACATGACAGGGGCCCTCTGGGTCATTCTGGGGTGTTTTGTAGTCCTGGACCTTAACCGAAAAGATAGAAATCGTTTCCAAGACAAACCTTTATTCTATAAAATTGTCCTTAGGAGAGAGTGTGTATGTATGTGTGACAAAGAATTGCTTCCCAACAATATAAACCAATAGGGTCAGTGAAAATTTTAAGGGATGGATTAACTCTTTTAAATGCAAATTTCAAGACGGCTATCATAAAGGTTCTGAATTAATAAAACTCCAGAGCGTCTGAATACTCGTCATTCATGCATTTCCACGTAAACGGTGAATATAAAGATTCGTTAATTTAAGGATGTTTTCTCTTCTCTCTGCAGTTGATTGTTCTGCTCCCAACACATGTATGAACGGAGGTACCTGTAATGGTGAGGGCAATGCATGTCAATGTAATGCAGGATATACTGGAGAGTTGTGTGGTACAGGTATGAACATATATTGTAACATCAGGATTTAACGTCGACAAATCTTTTGGTTTCAAAGGAAATTATTAGACACGTAATGATAACGATGATTTAAGCCATGATATACGGTAATATCGTGCACTTAACCCCTTTATATATGTCAAAATCAACATTTTAACTTTCAAACACTAACCCACCCCCCCCCCCCCTCCCTCCCGAAAATGGAGTGGGCTAAAGTTTGGGGAAAGCCTACCTAAAAAACCTACCTGTCATTATTTAAAATGTCAGTTTTTACTTAATTTTCCTGTTATTTTCTTTTTCTTCGAGGGCCTCTTCAAGGATTGTCAGTGACAACGAAACTTGTTTTTTTTAAAGATTTTTACTTCTTCTTAGTCCATGAATTTGGAAATTAATCGGACGAATTCAAGATAGATTTAGTTTGTTTACTTTATTTTATTTTTTGATTAATAGTTTTACAAATTAAGTAGATTTTTTCTCATTTGTCGTTAATATGCATTTAAAAGCAATTGTTGTTTGATTTTCCTGTTAATCGCTAAATATGGACAAATATGACAACATGGAAATTATTTTCTTGTCACTTTCATTCCAATGAATATCATTACAACTCAATTTGCATAGATATCGACGAATGTGCTTCCGGTCCGTGTATGGCTAATGAAGATTGTACTGATGGAGTGAACATGTATACTTGTGCGTGCTCTGCTGGTTATGCTGGGTCTCCGTGTGCAGGTAAGCTATCAAGTCAAGGCAGATTAAATGCAAACACCTATGACATAAAGCAAATGCTCCTTTCTCATCAAGACATTATAGATACCTAGTCTTTCATGCTTCGTATCAGAGTCAAATTCAACTCACGGCTTGCATCTCCACTTGATCAACAGTGAAAAGTTTCAGTGTTAATTTATTTTAATGGCCTTTTTTTAGTTGATTCCCAGCGATGGCCTGACGTAAAAAGTTAAAGAATCATTTAATCTTCCCAAATTACAAAAATGTGAATCAAGCTACAGTGTCGAACATAAATGACAAGGTTGACAAATTGTTAGGCTACCCCGGGTCCTATCGCTAAAAATAGTCCAATCCGTCACAAAATTATTTTTCACTCTTTCTTTTATAACACAAGATAGAGCTATTCAATAAAATCAGCACTATTATTCAAGCCCCTTGATTTTCATGAGACAAGTCGCTGAAAATGTACTCCAAACTACAATTAATTAGCAATCTACATTCATAACCTTATGAACAATTTTAACAATGAACACTTATTTTTAGTTTATTGCAACAAACGTGCAAAACAAATATTTTGGTTTCAAAGGAAATTATTAGACACGTAATGATAACGATGATTTAAGCCATGATATACGGTAATATCGTGCACTTAACCCCTTTATATATGTCAAAATCAACATTCTAACTTTCAAACACTAACCCACCCCCCCCCCCTCCCTCCCGAAAATGGAGTGGGCTAAAGTTTGGGGAAAGCCTACCTAAAAAACCTACCTGTCATTATTTAAAATGTCAGTTTTTACTTAATTTTCCTGTTATTTTCTTTTTCTTCGAGGGCCTCTTCAAGGATTGTCAGTGACAACGAAACTTGTTTTTTTTTATAGATTTTTACTTCTTCTTAGTCCATGAATTTGGAAATTAATCGGACGAATTCAAGATAGATTTAGTTTGTTTACTTTATTTTATTTTTTGATTAATAGTTTTACAAATTAAGTAGATTTTTTCTCATTTGTCGTTAATATGCATTTAAAAGCAATTGTTGTTTGATTTTCCTGTTAATCGCTAAATATGGACAAATATGACAACATGGAAATTATTTTCTTGTCACTTTCATTCCAATGAATATCATTACAACTCAATTTGCATAGATATCGACGAATGTGCTTCCGGTCCGTGTATGGCTAATGAAGATTGTACTGATGGAGTGAACATGTATACTTGTGCGTGCTCTGCTGGTTATGCTGGGTCTCCGTGTGCAGGTAAGCTATCAAGTCAAGACAGATTAAATGCAAACACCTATGACATAAGGCAAATGCTCCTTTCTCATCAAGACATTATAGATACCTAGTCTTTCATGCTTCGTATCAGAGTCAAATTCAACTCACGGCTTGCATCTCCACTTGATCAACAGTGAAAAGTTTCAGTGTTAATTTATTTTAATGGCCTTTTTTTAGTTGATTCCCAGCGATGGCCTGACGTAAAAAGTTAAAGAATCATTTAATCTTCCCAAATTACAAAAATGTGAATCAAGCTACAGTGTCGAACATAAATGACAAGGTTGACAAATTGTTAGGCTACCCCGGGTCCTATCGCTAAAAATAGTCCAATCCGTCACAAAATTATTTTTCACTCTTTCTTTTATAACACAAGATAGAGCTATTCAATAAAATCAGCACTATTATTCAAGCCCCTTGATTTTCATGAGACAAGTCGCTGAAAATGTACTCCAAACTACAATTAATTAGCAATCTACATTCATAACCTTATGAACAATTTTAAAAATGAACACTTATTTTTAGTTTATTGCAACAAACGTGCAAAACAAATATTTTGGTTTCAAAGGAAATTATTAGACACGTAATGATAACGACGGATGATTTAAGCCATGATATACGGTAATATCGTGCACTTAACCCCTTTATATATGTCAAAATCAACATTTTAACTTTCAAACACTAACCCACCCCCCCCCCCCCCCCCCCTCCCTCCCGAAAATGGAGTGGGCTAAAGTTTGGGGAAAGCCTACCTAAAAACCTACCTGTCATTATTTAAAATGTCAGTTTTTACTTAATTTTCCTGTTATTTTCTTTTTCTTCGAGGGCCTCTTCAAGGATTGTCAGTGACAACGAAACTTGTTTTTTTTTATAGATTTTTACTTCTTCTTAGTCCATGAATTTGGAAATTAATCGGACGAATTCAAGATAGATTTAGTTTGTTTACTTTATTTTATTTTTTGATTAATAGTTTTACAAATTAAGTAGATTTTTTCTCATTTGTCGTTAATATGCATTTAAAAGCAATTGTTGTTTGATTTTCCTGTTAATCGCTAAATATGGACAAATATGACAACATGGAAATTATTTTCTTGTCACTTTCATTCCAATGAATATCATTACAACTCAATTTGCATAGATATCGACGAATGTGCTTCCGGTCCGTGTATGGCTAATGAAGATTGTACTGATGGAGTGAACATGTATACTTGTGCGTGCTCTGCTGGTTATGCTGGGTCTCCGTGTGCAGGTAAGCTATCAAGTCAAGGCAGATTAAATGCAAACACCTATGACATAAAGCAAATGCTCCTTTCTCATCAAGACATTATAGATACCTAGTCTTTCATGCTTCGTATCAGAGTCAAATTCAACTCACGGCTTGCATCTCCACTTGATCAACAGTGAAAAGTTTCAGTGTTAATTTATTTTAATGGCCTTTTTTTAGTTGATTCCCAGCGATGGCCTGACGTAAAAAGTTAAAGAATCATTTTATCTTCCCAAATTACAAAAATGTGAATCAAGCTACAGTGTCGAACATAAATGACAAGGTTGACAAATTGTTAGGCTACCCCGGGTCCTATCGCTAAAAATAGTCCAATCCGTCACAAAATTATTTTTCACTCTTTCTTTTATAACACAAGATAGAGCTATTCAATAAAATCAGCACTATTATTCAAGCCCCTTGATTTTCATGAGACAAGTCGCTGAAAATGTACTCCAAACTACAATTAATTAGCAATCTACATTCATAACCTTATGAACAATTTTAAAAATGAACACTTATTTTTAGTTTATTGCAACAAACGTGCAAAACAAAGCTTTCATTCTTATCATACAATACTTTTAAACCTGATGGTACTTGCTAATTAGTTTAGAATATACCCTTTCAGTGAAACAAATGTTCAAGTAGTTGACTGTTTAGAAAGGATGGAAACCTCAACCCACCGCAATTTGTTGAAATATATTCAATGAATGTATACAGCTATGGTGGATCGGGGAAGGGTGAATCGACCGCGGTCCCCCCCCCCTTCTTTAGCGGGGGCCTGAAAAAGGGAGGAAAGGGTAAAAAGAAAAGAAGATAAGACAAAGAAAAAAAAGATAGAGGGAGAAAGATATTGGGAGGAAGCGAAACGGAAAAAAAAAAAGAACATCAAACTTAACTCTAAACATACAGATTACATTGCAGATGAGTTGCAATAGGTTCAACGTGTGCCTACGAAGACTTCAGATGAAAGTAGAACAGTAATACAAAAAATTAAATGCAGTTCTATGAAAGAGAAAGAGAGACGGTTTGTAATGAAATGAATGGGGGACTGTTTGAATTTCAAGAAGAAAATAACAATTTTCTACTCGTTGAGGGCAATCTTGAAGGTTCTAGATTAATTGTTAGACTTAATTAAGAGCGTCCGGTGGCTCCTTCCCCTGCATAGACAACTGACAACATAGGCCTCTGCCGCTGCAACATGACAGGGGCCCTCTGGGTCATTCTGGGGTGTTTTGTAGTCGTGGACCTTAACCGAAAAGATAGAAATCGTTTCCAAGACAAACCTTTATTCTATAAAATTGTCCTTAGGAGAGAGTGTGTATGTATGTGTGACAAAGAATTGCTTCCCAACAATATAAACCAATAGGGTCAGTGAAAATTTTAAGGGATGGATTAACTTTTTTAAATGCAAATTTCAAGACGGCTATCATAAAGGTTCTGAATTAATAAAACTCCAGAGCGTCTGAATACTCGTCATTCATGCATTTCCACGTAAACGGTGAATATAAAGATTCGTTAATTTAAGGATGTTTTCTCTTCTCTCTGCAGTTGATTGTTCTGCTCCCAACACATGTATGAACGGAGGTACCTGTAATGGTGAGGGCAATGCATGTCAATGTAATGCAGGATATACTGGAGAGTTGTGTGGTACAGGTATGAACATATGTTGTAACATCAGGATTTAACGTCGACAAATCTTTTGGTTTCAAAGGAAATTATTAGACACGTAATGATAACGATGATTTAAGCCATGATATACGGTAATATCGTGCACTTAACCCCTTTATATATGTCAAAATCAACATTTTAACTTTCAAACACTAACCCACCCCCCCCCCCCCCCTCCCTCCCGAAAATGGAGTGGGCTAAAGTTTGGGGAAAGCCTACCTAAAAAACCTACCTGTCATTATTTAAAATGTCAGTTTTTACTTAATTTTCCTGTTATTTTCTTTTTCTTCGAGGGCCTCTTCAAGGATTGTCAGTGACAACGAAACTTGTTTTTTTTAAAGATTTTTACTTCTTCTTAGTCCATGAATTTGGAAATTAATCGGACGAATTCAAGATAGATTTAGTTTGTTTACTTTATTTTATTTTTTGATTAATAGTTTTACAAATTAAGTAGATTTTTTCTCATTTGTCGTTAATATGCATTTAAAAGCAATTGTTGTTTGATTTTCCTGTTAATCGCTAAATATGGACAAATATGACAACATGGAAATTATTTTCTTGTCACTTTCATTCCAATGAATATCATTACAACTCAATTTGCATAGATATCGACGAATGTGCTTCCGGTCCGTGTATGGCTAATGAAGATTGTACTGATGGAGTGAACATGTATACTTGTGCGTGCTCTGCTGGTTATGCTGGGTCTCCGTGTGCAGGTAAGCTATCGAGTCAAGGCAGATTAAATGCAAACACCTATGACATAAAGCAAATGCTCCTTTCTCATCAAGACATTATAGATACCTAGTCTTTCATGCTTCGTATCAGAGTCAAATTCAACTCACGGCTTGCATCTCCACTTGATCAACAGTGAAAAGTTTCAGTGTTAATTTATTTTAATGGCCTTTTTTTAGTTGATTCCCAGCGATGGCCTGACGTAAAAAGTTAAAGAATCATTTTATCTTCCCAAATTACAAAAATGTGAATCAAGCTACAGTGTCGAACATAAATGACAAGGTTGACAAATTGTTAGGCTACCCCGGGTCCTATCGCTAAAAATAGTCCAATCCGTCACAAAATTATTTTTCACTCTTTCTTTTATAACACAAGATAGAGCTATTCAATAAAATCAGCACTATTATTCAAGCCCCTTGATTTTCATGAGACAAGTCGCTGAAAATGTACTCCAAACTACAATTAATTAGCAATCTACATTCATAACCTTATGAACAATTTTAAAAATGAACACTTATTTTTAGTTTATTGCAACAAACGTGCAAAACAAAGCTTTCATTCTTATCATACAATACTTTTAAACCTGATGGTACTTGCTAATTAGTTTAGAATATACCCTTTCAGTGAAACAAATGTTCAAGTAGTTGACTGTTTAGAAAGGATGGAAACCTCAACCCACCGCAATTTGTTGAAATATATTCAATGAATGTATACAGCTATGGTGGATCGGGGAAGGGTGAATCGACCGCGGTCCCCCCCCCCCCCTTCTTTAGCGGGGGCCTGAAAAAGGGAGGAAAGGGTAAAAAGAAAAGAAGATAAGACAAAGAAAAAAAAGATAGAGGGAGAAAGATATTGGGAGGAAGCGAAACGGAAAAAAAAAAAGAACATCAAACTTAACTCTAAACATACAGATTACATTGCAGATGAGTTGCAATAGGTTCAACGTGTGCCTACGAAGACTTCAGATGAAAGTAGAACAGTAATACAAAAAATTAAATGCAGTTCTATGAAAGAGAAAGAGAGACGGTTTGTAATGAAATGAATGGGGGACTGTTTGAATTTCAAGAAGAAAATAACAATTTTCTACTCGTTGAGGGCAATCTTGAAGGTTCTAGATTAATTGTTAGACTTAATTAAGAGCGTCCGGTGGCTCCTTCCCCTGCATAGACAACTGACAACATAGGCCTCTGCCGCTGCAACATGACAGGGGCCCTCTGGGTCATTCTGGGGTGTTTTGTAGTCCTGGACCTTAACCGAAAAGATAGAAATCGTTTCCAAGACAAACCTTTATTCTATAAAATTGTCCTTAGGAGAGAGTGTGTATGTATGTGTGACAAAGAATTGCTTCCCAACAATATAAACCAATAGGGTCAGTGAAAATTTTAAGGGATGGATTAACTTTTTTAAATGCAAATTTCAAGACGGCTATCATAAAGGTTCTGAATTAATAAAACTCCAGAGCGTCTGAATACTCGTCATTCATGCATTTCCACGTAAACGGTGAATATAAAGATTCGTTAATTTAAGGATGTTTTCTCTTCTCTCTGCAGTTGATTGTTCTGCTCCCAACACATGTATGAACGGAGGTACCTGTAATGGTGAGGGCAATGCATGTCAATGTAATGCAGGATATACTGGAGAGTTGTGTGGTACAGGTATGAACATATGTTGTAACATCAGGATTTAACGTCGACAAATCTTTTGGTTTCAAAGGAAATTATTAGACACGTAATGATAACGATGATTTAAGCCATGATATACGGTAATATCGTGCACTTAACCCCTTTATATATGTCAAAATCAACATTTTAACTTTCAAACACTAACCCACCCCCCCCCCCCCCCTCCCTCCCGAAAATGGAGTGGGCTAAAGTTTGGGGAAAGCCTACCTAAAAAACCTACCTGTCATTATTTAAAATGTCAGTTTTTACTTAATTTTCCTGTTATTTTCTTTTTCTTCGAGGGCCTCTTCAAGGATTGTCAGTGACAACGAAACTTGTTTTTTTTATAGATTTTTACTTCTTCTTAGTCCATGAATTTGGAAATTAATCGGACGAATGCAAGATAGATTTAGTTTGTTTACTTTATTTTATTTTTTGATTAATAGTTTTACAAATTAAGTAGATTTTTTTCTCATTTGTCGTTAATATGCATTTAAAAGCAATTGTTGTTTGATTTTCCTGTTAATCGCTAAATATGGACAAATATGACAACATGGAAATTATTTTCTTGTCACTTTCATTCCAATGAATATCATTACAACTCAATTTGCATAGATATCGACGAATGTGCTTCCGGTCCGTGTATGGCTAATGAAGATTGTACTGATGGAGTGAACATGTATACTTGTGCGTGCTCTGCTGGTTATGCTGGGTCTCCGTGTGCAGGTAAGCTATCGAGTCAAGGCAGATTAAATGCAAACACCTATGACATAAAGCAAATGCTCCTTTCTCATCAAGACATTATAGATACCTAGTCTTTCATGCTTCGTATCAGAGTCAAATTCAACTCACGGCTTGCATATCCACTTGATCAACAGTGAAAAGCTTCAGTGTTAATTTATTTTAATGGCCTTTTTTTAGTTGATTCCCAGCGATGGCCTGACGTAAAAAGTTAAAGAATCATTTTATCTTCCCAAATTACAAAAATGTGAATCAAGCTACAGTGTCGAACATAAATGACAAGGTTGACAAATTGTTAGGCTACCCCGGGTCCTATCGCTAAAAATAGTCCAATCCGTCACAAAATTATTTTTCACTCTTTCTTTTATAACACAAGATAGAGCTATTCAATAAAATCAGCACTATTATTCAAGCCCCTTGATTTTCATGAGACAAGTCGCTGAAAATGTACTCCAAACTACAATTAATTAGCAATCTACATTCATAACCTTATGAACAATTTTAAAAATGAACACTTATTTTTAGTTTATTGCAACAAACGTGCAAAACAAAGCTTTCATTCTTATCATACAATACTTTTAAACCTGATGGTACTTGCTAATTAGTTTAGAATATACCCTTTCAGTGAAACAAATGTTCAAGTAGTTGACTGTTTAGAAAGGATGGAAACCTCAACCCACCGCAATTTGTTGAAATATATTCAATGAATGTATACAGCTATGGTGGATCGGGGAAGGGTGAATCGACCGCGGTCCCCCCCCCCTTCTTTAGCGGGGGCCTGAAAAAGGGAGGAAAGGGTAAAAAGAAAAGAAGATAAGACAAAGAAAAAAAAGATAGAGGGAGAAAGATATTGGGAGGAAGCGAAACGGAAAAAAAAAAGAACATCAAACTTAACTCTAAACATACAGATTACATTGCAGATGAGTTGCAATAGGTTCAACGTGTGCCTACGAAGACTTCAGATGAAAGTAGAACAGTAATACAAAAAATTAAATGCAGTTCTATGAAAGAGAAAGAGAGACGGTTTGTAATGAAATGAATGGGGGACTGTTTGAATTTCAAGAAGAAAATAACAATTTTCTACTCGTTGAGGGCAATCTTGAAGGTTCTAGATTAATTGTTAGACTTAATTAAGAGCGTCCGGTGGCTCCTTCCCCTGCATAGACAACTGACAACATAGGCCTCTGCCGCTGCAACATGACAGGGGCCCTCTGGGTCATTCTGGGGTGTTTTGTAGTCCTGGACCTTAACCGAAAAGATAGAAATCGTTTCCAAGACAAACCTTTATTCTATAAAATTGTCCTTAGGAGAGAGTGTGTATGTATGTGTGACAAAGAATTGCTTCCCAACAATATAAACCAATAGGGTCAGTGAAAATTTTAAGGGATGGATTAACTTTTTTAAATGCAAATTTCAAGACGGCTATCATAAAGGTTCTGAATTAATAAAACTCCAGAGCGTCTGAATACTCGTCATTCATGCATTTCCACGTAAACGGTGAATATAAAGATTCGTTAATTTAAGGATGTTTTCTCTTCTCTCTGCAGTTGATTGTTCTGCTCCCAACACATGTATGAACGGAGGTACCTGTAATGGTGAGGGCAATGCATGTCAATGTAATGCAGGATATACTGGAGAGTTGTGTGGTACAGGTATGAACATATGTTGTAACATCAGGATTTAACGTCGACAAATCTTTTGGTTTCAAAGGAAATTATTAGACACGTAATGATAACGATGATTTAAGCCATGATATACGGTAATATCGTGCACTTAACCCCTTTATATATGTCAAAATCAACATTTTAACTTTCAAACACTAACCCACCCCCCCCCCCCCTCCCTCCCGAAAATGGAGTGGGCTAAAGTTTGGGGAAAGCCTACCTAAAAAACCTACCTGTCATTATTTAAAATGTCAGTTTTTACTTAATTTTCCTGTTATTTTCTTTTTCTTCGAGGGCCTCTTCAAGGATTGTCAGTGACAACGAAACTTGTTTTTTTTATAGATTTTTACTTCTTCTTAGTCCATGAATTTGGAAATTAATCGGACGAATGCAAGATAGATTTAGTTTGTTTACTTTATTTTATTTTTTGATTAATAGTTTTACAAATTAAGTAGATTTTTTTCTCATTTGTCGTTAATATGCATTTAAAAGCAATTGTTGTTTGATTTTCCTGTTAATCGCTAAATATGGACAAATATGACAACATGGAAATTATTTTCTTGTCACTTTCATTCCAATGAATATCATTACAACTCAATTTGCATAGATATCGACGAATGTGCTTCCGGTCCGTGTATGGCTAATGAAGATTGTACTGATGGAGTGAACATGTATACTTGTGCGTGCTCTGCTGGTTATGCTGGGTCTCCGTGTGCAGGTAAGCTATCGAGTCAAGGCAGATTAAATGCAAACACCTATGACATAAAGCAAATGCTCCTTTCTCATCAAGACATTATAGATACCTAGTCTTTCATGCTTCGTATCAGAGTCAAATTCAACTCACGGCTTGCATCTCCACTTGATCAACAGTGAAAAGTTTCAGTGTTAATTTATTTTAATGGCCTTTTTTTAGTTGATTCCCAGCGATGGCCTGACGTAAAAAGTTAAAGAATCATTTAATCTTCCCAAATTACAAAAATGTGAATCAAGCTACAGTGTCGAACATAAATGACAAGGTTGACAAATTGTTAGGCTACCCCGGGTCCTATCGCTAAAAATAGTCCAATCCGTCACAAAATTATTTTTCACTCTTTCTTTTATAACACAAGATAGAGCTATTCAATAAAATCAGCACTATTATTCAAGCCCCTTGATTTTCATGAGACAAGTCGCTGAAAATGTACTCCAAACTACAATTAATTAGCAATCTACATTCATAACCTTATGAACAATTTTAAAAATGAACACTTATTTTTAGTTTATTGCAACAAACGTGCAAAACAAAGCTTTCATTCTTATCATACAATACTTTTAAACCTGATGGTACTTGCTAATTAGTTTAGAATATACCCTTTCAGTGAAACAAATGTTCAAGTAGTTGACTGTTTAGAAAGGATGGAAACCTCAACCCACCGCAATTTGTTGAAATATATTCAATGAATGTATACAGCTATGGTGGATCGGGGAAGGGCGAATCGACCGCGGTCCCCCCCCCCCCCTTCTTTAGCGGGGGCCTGAAAAAGGGAGGAAAGGGTAAAAAGAAAAGAAGATAAGACAAAGAAAAAAAAGATAGAGGGAGAAAGATATTGGGAGGGAGCGAAACGGAAAAAAAAAGAAGAACATCAAACTTAACTCTAAACATACAGATTACATTGCAGATGAGTTGCAATAGGTTCAACGTGTGCCTACGAAGACTTCAGATGAAAGTAGAACAGTAATACAAAAAATTAAATGCAGTTCTATGAAAGAGAAAGAGAGACGGTTTGTAATGAAATGAATGGGGGACTGTTTGAATTTCAAGAAGAAAATAACAATTTTCTACTCGTTGAGGGCAATCTTGAAGGTTCTAGATTAATTGTTAGACTTAATTAAGAGCGTCCGGTGGCTCCTTCCCCTGCATAGACAACTGACAACTTAGGCCTCTGCCGCTGCAACATGACAGGGGCCCTCTGGGTCATTCTGGGGTGTTTTGTAGTCCTTGACCTTAACCGAAAAGATAGAAATCGTTTCCAAGACAAACCTTTATTCTATAAAATTGTCCTTAGGAGAGAGTGTGTATGTATGTGTGACAAAGAATAGCTTCCCAACAATATAAACCAATAGGGTCAGTGAAAATTTTAAGGGATGGATTAACTTTTTTAAATGCAAATTTCAAGACGGCTATCATAAAGGTTCTGAATTAATAAAACTCCAGAGCGTCTGAATACTCGTCATTCATGCATTTCCACGTAAACGGTGAATATAAAGATTCGTTAATTTAAGGATGTTTTCTCTTCTCTCTGCAGTTGATTGTTCTGCTCCCAACACATGTATGAACGGAGGTACCTGTAATGGTGAGGGCAATGCATGTCAATGTAATGCAGGATATACTGGAGAGTTGTGTGGTACAGGTATGAACATATGTTGTAACATCAGGATTTAACGTCGACAAATCTTTTGGTTTCAAAGGAAATTATTAGACACGTAATGATAACGATGATTTAAGCCATGATATACGGTAATATCGTGCACTTAACCCCTTTATATATGTCAAAATCAACATTTTAACTTTCAAACACTAACCCACCCCCCCCCCCCCCCCTCCCTCCCGAAAATGGAGTGGGCTAAAGTTTGGGGAAAGCCTACCTAAAAAACCTACCTGTCATTATTTAAAATGTCAGTTTTTACTTAATTTTCCTGTTATTTTCTTTTTCTTCGAGGGCCTCTTCAAGGATTGTCAGTGACAACGAAACTTGTTTTTTTTAAAGATTTTTACTTCTTCTTAGTCCATGAATTTGGAAATTAATCGGACGAATTCAAGATAGATTTAGTTTGTTTACTTTATTTTATTTTTTGATTAATAGTTTTACAAATTAAGTAGATTTTTTCTCATTTGTCGTTAATATGCATTTAAAAGCAATTGTTGTTTGATTTTCCTGTTAATCGCTAAATATGGACAAATATGACAACATGGAAATTATTTTCTTGTCACTTTCATTCCAATGAATATCATTACAACTCAATTTGCATAGATATCGACGAATGTGCTTCCGGTCCGTGTATGGCTAATGAAGATTGTACTGATGGAGTGAACATGTATACTTGTGCGTGCTCTGCTGGTTATGCTGGGTCTCCGTGTGCAGGTAAGCTATCGAGTCAAGGCAGATTAAATGCAAACACCTATGACATAAAGCAAATGCTCCTTTCTCATCAAGACATTATAGATACCTAGTCTTTCATGCTTCGTATCAGAGTCAAATTCAACTCACGGCTTGCATCTCCACTTGATCAACAGTGAAAAGTTTCAGTGTTAATTTATTTTAATGGCCTTTTTTTAGTTGATTCCCAGCGATGGCCTGACGTAAAAAGTTAAAGAATCATTTTATCTTCCCAAATTACAAAAATGTGAATCAAGCTACAGTGTCGAACATAAATGACAAGGTTGACAAATTGTTAGGCTACCCCGGGTCCTATCGCTAAAAATAGTCCAATCCGTCACAAAATTATTTTTCACTCTTTCTTTTATAACACAAGATAGAGCTATTCAATAAAATCAGCACTATTATTCAAGCCCCTTGATTTTCATGAGACAAGTCGCTGAAAATGTACTCCAAACTACAATTAATTAGCAATCTACATTCATAACCTTATGAACAATTTTAAAAATGAACACTTATTTTTAGTTTATTGCAACAAACGTGCAAAACAAAGCTTTCATTCTTATCATACAATACTTTTAAACCTGATGGTACTTGCTAATTAGTTTAGAATATACCCTTTCAGTGAAACAAATGTTCAAGTAGTTGACTGTTTAGAAAGGATGGAAACCTCAACCCACCGCAATTTGTTGAAATATATTCAATGAATGTATACAGCTATGGTGGATCGGGGAAGGGTGAATCGACCGCGGTCCCCCCCCCCTTCTTTAGCGGGGGCCTGAAAAAGGGAGGAAAGGGTAAAAAGAAAAGAAGATAAGACAAAGAAAAAAAAGATAGAGGGAGAAAGATATTGGGAGGAAGCGAAACGGAAAAAAAAAAAGAACATCAAACTTAACTCTAAACATACAGATTACATTGCAGATGAGTTGCAATAGGTTCAACGTGTGCCTACGAAGACTTCAGATGAAAGTAGAACAGTAATACAAAAAATTAAATGCAGTTCTATGAAAGAGAAAGAGAGACGGTTTGTAATGAAATGAATGGGGGACTGTTTGAATTTCAAGAAGAAAATAACAATTTTCTACTCGTTGAGGGCAATCTTGAAGGTTCTAGATTAATTGTTAGACTTAATTAAGAGCGTCCGGTGGCTCCTTCCCCTGCATAGACAACTGACAACATAGGCCTCTGCCGCTGCAACATGACAGGGGCCCTCTGGGTCATTCTGGGGTGTTTTGTAGTCCTGGACCTTAACCGAAAAGATAGAAATCGTTTCCAAGACAAACCTTTATTCTATAAAATTGTCCTTAGGAGAGAGTGTGTATGTATGTGTGACAAAGAATTGCTTCCCAACAATATAAACCAATAGGGTCAGTGAAAATTTTAAGGGATGGATTAACTTTTTTAAATGCAAATTTCAAGACGGCTATCATAAAGGTTCTGAATTAATAAAACTCCAGAGCGTCTGAATACTCGTCATTCATGCATTTCCACGTAAACGGTGAATATAAAGATTCGTTAATTTAAGGATGTTTTCTCTTCTCTCTGCAGTTGATTGTTCTGCTCCCAACACATGTATGAACGGAGGTACCTGTAATGGTGAGGGCAATGCATGTCAATGTAATGCAGGATATACTGGAGAGTTGTGTGGTACAGGTATGAACATATGTTGTAACATCAGGATTTAACGTCGACAAATCTTTTGGTTTCAAAGGAAATTATTAGACACGTAATGATAACGATGATTTAAGCCATGATATACGGTAATATCGTGCACTTAACCCCTTTATATATGTCAAAATCAACATTTTAACTTTCAAACACTAACCCACCCCCCCCCCCTCCCTCCCGAAAATGGAGTGGGCTAAAGTTTGGGGAAAGCCTACCTAAAAAACCTACCTGTCATTATTTAAAATGTCAGTTTTTACTTAATTTTCCTGTTATTTTCTTTTTCTTCGAGGGCCTCTTCAAGGATTGTCAGTGACAACGAAACTTGTTTTTTTTATAGATTTTTACTTCTTCTTAGTCCATGAATTTGGAAATTAATCGGACGAATGCAAGATAGATTTAGTTTGTTTACTTTATTTTATTTTTTGATTAATAGTTTTACAAATTAAGTAGATTTTTTTCTCATTTGTCGTTAATATGCATTTAAAAGCAATTGTTGTTTGATTTTCCTGTTAATCGCTAAATATGGACAAATATGACAACATGGAAATTATTTTCTTGTCACTTTCATTCCAATGAATATCATTACAACTCAATTTGCATAGATATCGACGAATGTGCTTCCGGTCCGTGTATGGCTAATGAAGATTGTACTGATGGAGTGAACATGTATACTTGTGCGTGCTCTGCTGGTTATGCTGGGTCTCCGTGTGCAGGTAAGCTATCGAGTCAAGGCAGATTAAATGCAAACACCTATGACATAAAGCAAATGCTCCTTTCTCATCAAGACATTATAGATACCTAGTCTTTCATGCTTCGTATCAGAGTCAAATTCAACTCACGGCTTGCATATCCACTTGATCAACAGTGAAAAGCTTCAGTGTTAATTTATTTTAATGGCCTTTTTTTAGTTGATTCCCAGCGATGGCCTGACGTAAAAAGTTAAAGAATCATTTTATCTTCCCAAATTACAAAAATGTGAATCAAGCTACAGTGTCGAACATAAATGACAAGGTTGACAAATTGTTAGGCTACCCCGGGTCCTATCGCTAAAAATAGTCCAATCCGTCACAAAATTATTTTTCACTCTTTCTTTTATAACACAAGATAGAGCTATTCAATAAAATCAGCACTATTATTCAAGCCCCTTGATTTTCATGAGACAAGTCGCTGAAAATGTACTCCAAACTACAATTAATTAGCAATCTACATTCATAACCTTATGAACAATTTTAAAAATGAACACTTATTTTTAGTTTATTGCAACAAACGTGCAAAACAAAGCTTTCATTCTTATCATACAATACTTTTAAACCTGATGGTACTTGCTAATTAGTTTAGAATATACCCTTTCAGTGAAACAAATGTTCAAGTAGTTGACTGTTTAGAAAGGATGGAAACCTCAACCCACCGCAATTTGTTGAAATATATTCAATGAATGTATACAGCTATGGTGGATCGGGGAAGGGTGAATCGACCGCGGTCCCCCCCCCCCTTCTTTAGCGGGGGCCTGAAAAAGGGAGGAAAGGGTAAAAAGAAAAGAAGATAAGACAAAGAAAAAAAAGATAGAGGGAGAAAGATATTGGGAGGAAGCGAAACGGAAAAAAAAAAGAACATCAAACTTAACTCTAAACATACAGATTACATTGCAGATGAGTTGCAATAGGTTCAACGTGTGCCTACGAAGACTTCAGATGAAAGTAGAACAGTAATACAAAAAATTAAATGCAGTTCTATGAAAGAGAAAGAGAGACGGTTTGTAATGAAATGAATGGGGGACTGTTTGAATTTCAAGAAGAAAATAACAATTTTCTACTCGTTGAGGGCAATCTTGAAGGTTCTAGATTAATTGTTAGACTTAATTAAGAGCGTCCGGTGGCTCCTTCCCCTGCATAGACAACTGACAACATAGGCCTCTGCCGCTGCAACATGACAGGGGCCCTCTGGGTCATTCTGGGGTGTTTTGTAGTCCTGGACCTTAACCGAAAAGATAGAAATCGTTTCCAAGACAAACCTTTATTCTATAAAATTGTCCTTAGGAGAGAGTGTGTATGTATGTGTGACAAAGAATTGCTTCCCAACAATATAAACCAATAGGGTCAGTGAAAATTTTAAGGGATGGATTAACTTTTTTAAATGCAAATTTCAAGACGGCTATCATAAAGGTTCTGAATTAATAAAACTCCAGAGCGTCTGAATACTCGTCATTCATGCATTTCCACGTAAACGGTGAATATAAAGATTCGTTAATTTAAGGATGTTTTCTCTTCTCTCTGCAGTTGATTGTTCTGCTCCCAACACATGTATGAACGGAGGTACCTGTAATGGTGAGGGCAATGCATGTCAATGTAATGCAGGATATACTGGAGAGTTGTGTGGTACAGGTATGAACATATGTTGTAACATCAGGATTTAACGTCGACAAATCTTTTGGTTTCAAAGGAAATTATTAGACACGTAATGATAACGATGATTTAAGCCATGATATACGGTAATATCGTGCACTTAACCCCTTTATATATGTCAAAATCAACATTTTAACTTTCAAACACTAACCCACCCCCCCCCCCCTCCCTCCCGAAAATGGAGTGGGCTAAAGTTTGGGGAAAGCCTACCTAAAAAACCTACCTGTCATTATTTAAAATGTCAGTTTTTACTTAATTTTCCTGTTATTTTCTTTTTCTTCGAGGGCCTCTTCAAGGATTGTCAGTGACAACGAAACTTGTTTTTTTTATAGATTTTTACTTCTTCTTAGTCCATGAATTTGGAAATTAATCGGACGAATGCAAGATAGATTTAGTTTGTTTACTTTATTTTATTTTTTGATTAATAGTTTTACAAATTAAGTAGATTTTTTTCTCATTTGTCGTTAATATGCATTTAAAAGCAATTGTTGTTTGATTTTCCTGTTAATCGCTAAATATGGACAAATATGACAACATGGAAATTATTTTCTTGTCACTTTCATTCCAATGAATATCATTACAACTCAATTTGCATAGATATCGACGAATGTGCTTCCGGTCCGTGTATGGCTAATGAAGATTGTACTGATGGAGTGAACATGTATACTTGTGCGTGCTCTGCTGGTTATGCTGGGTCTCCGTGTGCAGGTAAGCTATCGAGTCAAGGCAGATTAAATGCAAACACCTATGACATAAAGCAAATGCTCCTTTCTCATCAAGACATTATAGATACCTAGTCTTTCATGCTTCGTATCAGAGTCAAATTCAACTCACGGCTTGCATCTCCACTTGATCAACAGTGAAAAGTTTCAGTGTTAATTTATTTTAATGGCCTTTTTTTAGTTGATTCCCAGCGATGGCCTGACGTAAAAAGTTAAAGAATCATTTAATCTTCCCAAATTACAAAAATGTGAATCAAGCTACAGTGTCGAACATAAATGACAAGGTTGACAAATTGTTAGGCTACCCCGGGTCCTATCGCTAAAAATAGTCCAATCCGTCACAAAATTATTTTTCACTCTTTCTTTTATAACACAAGATAGAGCTATTCAATAAAATCAGCACTATTATTCAAGCCCCTTGATTTTCATGAGACAAGTCGCTGAAAATGTACTCCAAACTACAATTAATTAGCAATCTACATTCATAACCTTATGAACAATTTTAAAAATGAACACTTATTTTTAGTTTATTGCAACAAACGTGCAAAACAAAGCTTTCATTCTTATCATACAATACTTTTAAACCTGATGGTACTTGCTAATTAGTTTAGAATATACCCTTTCAGTGAAACAAATGTTCAAGTAGTTGACTGTTTAGAAAGGATGGAAACCTCAACCCACCGCAATTTGTTGAAATATATTCAATGAATGTATACAGCTATGGTGGATCGGGGAAGGGCGAATCGACCGCGGTCCCCCCCCCCCCCTTCTTTAGCGGGGGCCTGAAAAAGGGAGGAAAGGGTAAAAAGAAAAGAAGATAAGACAAAGAAAAAAAAGATAGAGGGAGAAAGATATTGGGAGGGAGCGAAACGGAAAAAAAAAGAAGAACATCAAACTTAACTCTAAACATACAGATTACATTGCAGATGAGTTGCAATAGGTTCAACGTGTGCCTACGAAGACTTCAGATGAAAGTAGAACAGTAATACAAAAAATTAAATGCAGTTCTATGAAAGAGAAAGAGAGACGGTTTGTAATGAAATGAATGGGGGACTGTTTGAATTTCAAGAAGAAAATAACAATTTTCTACTCGTTGAGGGCAATCTTGAAGGTTCTAGATTAATTGTTAGACTTAATTAAGAGCGTCCGGTGGCTCCTTCCCCTGCATAGACAACTGACAACTTAGGCCTCTGCCGCTGCAACATGACAGGGGCCCTCTGGGTCATTCTGGGGTGTTTTGTAGTCCTTGACCTTAACCGAAAAGATAGAAATCGTTTCCAAGACAAACCTTTATTCTATAAAATTGTCCTTAGGAGAGAGTGTGTATGTATGTGTGACAAAGAATAGCTTCCCAACAATATAAACCAATAGGGTCAGTGAAAATTTTAAGGGATGGATTAACTTTTTTAAATGCAAATTTCAAGACGGCTATCATAAAGGTTCTGAATTAATAAAACTCCAGAGCGTCTGTATACTCGTCATTCATGCATTTCCACGTAAACGGTGAATATAAAGATTCGTTAATTTAAGGATGTTTTCTCTTCTCTCTGCAGTTGATTGTTCTGCTCCCAACACATGTATGAACGGAGGTACCTGTAATGGTGAGGGCAATGCATGTCAATGTAATGCAGGATATACTGGAGAGTTGTGTGGTACAGGTATGAACATATGTTGTAACATCAGGATTTAACGTCGACAAATCTTTTGGTTTCAAAGGAAATTATTAGACACGTAATGATAACGATGATTTAAGCCATGATATACGGTAATATCGTGCACTTAACCCCTTTATATATGTCAAAATCAACATTTTAACTTTCAAACACTAACCCACCCCCCCCCCCCTCCCTCCCGAAAATGGAGTGGGCTAAAGTTTGGGGAAAGCCTACCTAAAAAACCTACCTGTCATTATTTAAAATGTCAGTTTTTACTTAATTTTCCTGTTATTTTCTTTTTCTTCGAGGGCCTCTTCAAGGATTGTCAGTGACAACGAAACTGGTTTTTTTATAGATTTTTACTTCTTCTTAGTCCATGAATTTGGAAATTAATCGGACGAATGCAAGATAGATTTAGTTTGTTTACTTTATTTTATTTTTTGATTAATAGTTTTACAAATTAAGTAGATTTTTTTCTCATTTGTCGTTAATATGCATTTAAAAGCAATTGTTGTTTGATTTTCCTGTTAATCGCTAAATATGGACAAATATGACAACATGGAAATTATTTTCTTGTCACTTTCATTCCAATGAATATCATTACAACTCAATTTGCATAGATATCGACGAATGTGCTTCCGGTCCGTGTATGGCTAATGAAGATTGTACTGATGGAGTGAACATGTATACTTGTGCGTGCTCTGCTGGTTATGCTGGGTCTCCGTGTGCAGGTAAGCTATCAAGTCAAGGCAGATTAAATGCAAACACCTATGACATAAAGCAAATGCTCCTTTCTCATCAAGACATTATAGATACCTAGTCTTTCATGCTTCGTATCAGAGTCAAATTCAACTCACGGCTTGCATCTCCACTTGATCAACAGTGAAAAGTTTCAGTGATAATTTATTTTAATGGCCTTTTTTTAGTTGATTCCCAGCGATGGCCTGACGTAAAAAGTTAAAGAATCATTTAATCTTCCCAAATTACAAAAATGTGAATCAAGCTACAGTGTCGAACATAAATGACAAGGTTGACAAATTGTTAGGCTACCCCGGGTCCTATCGCTAAAAATAGTCCAATCCGTCACAAAATTATTTTTCACTCTTTCTTTTATAACACAAGATAGAGCTATTCAATAAAATCAGCACTATTATTCAAGCCCCTTGATTTTCATGAGACAAGTCGCTGAAAATGTACTCCAAACTACAATTAATTAGCAATCTACATTCATAACCTTATGAACAATTTTAAAAATGAACACTTATTTTTAGTTTATTGCAACAAACGTGCAAAACAAAGCTTTCATTCTTATCATACAATACTTTTAAACCTGATGGTACTTGCTAATTAGTTTAGAATATACCCTTTCAGTGAAACAAATGTTCAAGTAGTTGACTGTTTAGAAAGGATGGAAACCTCAACCCACCGCAATTTGTTGAAATATATTCAATGAATGTATACAGCTATGGTGGATCGGGGAAGGGTGAATCGACCGCGGTCCCCCCCCCCCCCCCCTTCTTTAGCGGGGGCCTGAAAAAGGGAGGAAAGGGTAAAAAGAAAAGAAGATAAGACAAAGAAAAAAAAGATATTGGGAGGAAGCGAAACGGAAAAAAAAAAAGAACATCAAACTTAACTCTTAACATACAGATTACATTGCAGATGAGTTGCAATAGGTTCAACGTGTGCCTACGAAGACTTCAGATGAAAGTTGAACAGTAATACAAAAAATTAAATGCAGTTCTATGAAAGAGAAAGAGAGACGGTTTGTAATGAAATGAATGGGGGACTGTTTGAATTTCAAGAAGAAAATAACAATTTTCTACTCGTTGAGGGCAATCTTGAAGGTTCTAGATTAATTGTTAGACTTAATTAAGAGCGTCCGGTGGCTCCTTCCCCTGCATAGACAACTGACAACTTAGGCCTCTGCCGCTGCAACATGACAGGGGCCCTCTGGGTCATTCTGGGGTGTTTTGTAGTCCTGGACCTTAACCGAAAAGATAGAAATCGTTTCCAAGACAAACCTTTATTCTATAAAATTGTCCTTAGGAGAGAGTGTGTATGTATGTGTGACAAAGAATAGCTTCCCAACAATATAAACCAATAGGGTCAGTGAAAATTTTAAGGGATGGATTAACTTTTTTAAATGCAAATTTCAAGACGGCTATCATAAAGGTTCTGAATTAATAAAACTCCAGAGCGTCTGAATACTCGTCATTCATGCATTTCCACGTAAACGGTGAATATAAAGATTCGTTAATTTAAGGATGTTTTCTCTTCTCTCTGCAGTTGATTGTTCTGCTCCCAACACATGTATGAACGGAGGTACCTGTAATGGTGAGGGCAATGCATGTCAATGTAATGCAGGATATACTGGAGAGTTGTGTGGTACAGGTATGAACATATGTTGTAACATCAGGATTTAACGTCGACAAATCTTTTGGTTTCAAAGGAAATTATTAGACACGTAATGATAACGATGATTTAAGCCATGATATACGGTAATATCGTGCACTTAACCCCTTTATATATGTCAAAATCAACATTTTAACTTTCAAACACTAACCCACCCCCCCCCCCCCCCTCCCTCCCGAAAATGGAGTGGGCTAAAGTTTGGGGAAAGCCTACCAAAAAAAACCTACCTGTCATTTTTTTAAATGTCAGTTTTTACTTTAATATTGGGATGTAGTACCTGATTATACACTACAAAAAACAGTGTGTTAAATTTCTAACACCAGCGCGGAATAGAAAGAAAAACACCCTTAGTGTTAATTTCACGTCCCTTCACGTCCGTTCAACACCAACAGAGTGTCGAAATATTTAATAACAGGTTGATGTTCCGAGTCTTGGTGTTATGGTGTTGTACTTGCGCATGCGCATAAGTTAGTGGAATCGAGCAAAATCATTGGACGACAGTTGTCATATGATATGACGTCCTATCGTACATGCGCATGCGCAAGCTAGGTGTCAAGAATCTCTTCGGGATATCGTGGTTATAGAATTTTTTGTCAAGGTCTGAAAATCCTATTTCATCAGCGCAATCATGCCGTTAAGTGTGAACATTTGTTCTGCAGACAGAAAAGTTAAAAAATTGTTACCACAAAATCCAACAGACATCGCAGGATTCTTTGAATTGAGTGTAGAATTATTGGTATTGATTTTAACAAAAAAATCAGGATTAAATTCTACACACCACTGGTGTTGAAAAAAATGGTGTTGGAATTTTAAACACCAAAACTAGAATTGGACTTTAACACCAAGTTGAAACAATGGTGTTAGATTTTAACACCAAAGGCGGAATTACTTCAACACCAAGAGTGGAATTGAATTGTTTAATTCCAAACCCTGGTGTTAAATAATACCAGCTAGGGTTTTCCGATATAGATACCGGGATGGTGTTAAAACTAACACCCATGGTGTTAAATTTAACACCCTGGTTTTTTCAGTGTAGTCTCTGAAGGGTTCAACTTGTAACACATCCTGCATTACTTCAAAGCATCAAGATATTGTTGAATTATGCTCCCCCTCCGAAAAAACTACTTTTTCATGGCCTAGCTCAGTCAGCTAAATCCTACGAATATAATTCGTTGAATTTGCGTCCTGGATATAGAAAATAATCACTATAAGCACTATTTTTTCTAAAAAAAATTTGCTCCCGAAAATTTGAAAATCCCGCTAGTCCAAATGAGCTCAGTGGGTGGGAGAGGGGGGGGGGGCTTTCAAAATATTGAAAAATCGCACCCCCCCCCCTCCTCCTTAAACGCCAGGGGAGGGGGCCCATATCCAAAAAAATCGACCTATATGACCTTGACCTTTAACCAAGAAATATATAATCAGGTTGTCCTCTTATATGATGATACATAATTATAATCATCAAGTTCGAAGTTCATCAACTCAAAGGACAACTCCAAAAACATAATGCAATACGTCCACCTCTCCGGTGGCGAAGGCATAAACAAGAGATACAGAATACGTACATTCATGTGTATATTATTATGTATGAGAAATCTAACAATAGCGTGAATTATTAAATGAAAGAAATACTGTGATCCGCATTACTCTGAATTTAAATAAACTCCAATAAATCGAATGACACTTACGTCTGTGTACAGCTGTTGTCAAGTGTGTGGGAACCATTTGCAAATCTGTGCCCCTAAAACTATGTTCAGAACAAATTGAGAGAACTTGCTGTGAACACCCACCCCAAAAAATAACGTTTTAGAAGACTGAAATCAAACATGTAAAACATCATACGACTTCGTTGGTCAGGAAATTGATTTATTAAAAATTATTCCTTGCATTTTGATTTCCTAGTTATCTGCAGTGGGGTGACGTGTGTAGACTGTACATCATGCAGCGAAGGTATGTTGTTCTATTTGAAAGTAGCTTGTATGGTTAGTGATTCGATTAGAGTTTTGCTATGGTCTCATGTTGCCGTACGCTTTTTGGCACATATACATGTGATCAGTGGCGTACGCAGGATTTTTTAAAGGGGGGGGGGGGGGGGTTTTAAATCGGGTCCAAAATTTCGCAACGACTCAGGAAAATTTGAAAATTGCGCCGGCCAAAAAGTCGCTCAGTGGGGGGGGGGGGGGGGGGCGGGGGGGGGGGGGGGGGGGGGGGGGGGGAAGCGGACACTTTTTTTTTTTTAGGGAGTCCAAACAAAAATCGCAACGACTCAGCCAGCCGAAAAGTCGCTCAGTGGTGGGGGGGGGGGGGGGGGGGGGGGGGGGGGGGGGGTAAGCGGACACTTTTTTTTTTTTTTTTGGTCCCAGAAAAATCGCAACGACTCAACCGACCGCTGAATAAGCGGGGGGGGGGGGGGGGGGGGGGGGGGTAAGAGGCCACTTCTTTTTTTTTTTTTTTGGTCTCGAAATTTGAAAAATTGACATTTTTCTCCGTTGGGGGGGGGGGGTAAGGTCACCTTTCTTAGGTCAGCCATGGAGGTATTTCTTTTTTCTTTTTTTTTCTTTTTTTTAATAATTTAAAAAAATAAATAAAATAAAATAAAAATCCAAAGGGGGGGTTATAGGTTTTTTTAGGGGGGTTTACACACATAAAAATACCAAAGGGGGGGGGGTTTAACCCCCCAAACACCCCCCTGCGTACGCGCCTGCATGTGATCATCAAAGTACGTGTTGGACATACATGCCCATCATTCCCTGCCACCTATGTGCTCGTAACTGCCTAGAACCCCCCCCCCCTCTCTCTCTCTCTCTCTCTCTAAGTGCAGAACACTGCGTCTGACTGAGCGATTTTTCTGTGGAATCCATCACGAAAGTATTAAAGTCCACAGCTAGCTGTGACCCTAAACTGTTCATTATGCAAGAATGCTAATTAATTACGCTGAAATTCAGAGTCTTTTTTTAGAGAACATAATAGCATTACGGCAACGCTTTTTTATAGAGAACATGTTAGCATTGCGGCAACTCTTCTTTTGGTACATTTGGTATGTCAAGGTGTTTTACTTACTGCTATTTTGTGTCCTGTAAAATACTGGATTTAACAAAACCTGTCACTGTTTGATCCATGTATGGATATGTGATGCCTTTGTCTAGTGTTAAGGCACTACTTGGAGAGAGTTCACAGATCAACAGATGACTGGAAACTGAGAATTTTAAGCTAGAATTCACATCCAAATCTGGACTTCTGTAGCTGTTGGCACATTTCAGTCCCATCCCTTTATTTTCCTGAAGTGAAAATCCACCTTTTGCTGTTATCAACATGCCTGGGCGTGGAAGTAAGGGAAAGGCGAAGAAGGATAATATGCCTTGAATGTTTCTCCGAGGAGCCGCTCAGGGCCAGGCAAAACCCCCATCACCACAGCGCCCATTTGTGGTCAACAATGATGTAGATCGCAAGGTCGCCTCTCAACGAGGGATGGCAGCTGCAGCATCTCCGGAAAAGAAGGGGATTTTCGTTGATATAGGAGATCATCTTGAAGAGTTGGAGATTGGTGAATATGGCATGATGGGAGATGTTGTGAAACAGGCAGTTGAGGCAGCAGTAAAGGCAGCCGTTCCTGCTATAGTTCAGGCAGTGAAAGAGGTATGCCTGCGGTCATTTAAGGAGGTGGTCAATCCCCATCTTCTCCACCTCCAGTTTCGACAAGATGCAATAGAGCAGGCTGGGAGGAAAGATAATTTGAGGATCAGCGGTCTGGCTGAGGAGGAGAAGGAGGAGACAGAGGAGATCCTGATCGAAAAAATCTGTAAGGTGGCTGGGGAGACCGGGATGCAGCTTGCAGAGAGCGACATCTCGGCTTGCCATCGCTTAGGAAGGAAGGTGGCGGGGAAGAAGCGCGACACCGTCGTGCGCTTTGTCGCCCAACGTAAGCGAGACAAGGTGTACCAGGGGCGTTTCCACTTGAAGGGGAAGGAATCCTTTAGGCAGGTTTTTGTGAATGAAGATCTCACCTCTACTCGCTATGCTGTCTTGATGGCAGCAAAGAAATCTGCAGAGGTGAAATCTGTTTCGACAAAGGCAGGGAACATCGTCTGCAAAATGAATGATGATACTTTTAAGATAATTTCAACCCCTGACGACTTGTTCGCAGTGGGTTTAGATAATGTCGAATACAAAACTTCAGACTCCGCCTGTTGGAGAAATGTCTCCTCATAATGTCCTTTTTTCATGATACAAATATTCTAATAATATGTTTGATAACACCAGAAGCGGATCTAGAGGGGGGGTTGGGGGTTTGCAACCCCCCCCCCCCCCCCCCCCCAAAAAAAAAAAAAATCCGGGGACCATTTTTTTAAATCTTATCTTTTTTTTTAAACTTGTAATTTTATTTTATTCTATTTCTATGTATTTATTTCATTTATTATTATTATTATTATTATTATCATTATTATTATTATTATTATTATTATTTCTTTTTGGGGGGGGGGGGGGGGGGGGGGGTTGGGCGAACAAATGTCACAGAGTCCCTTGCCCCCCCCCCCCCCCATCAGCTTTTTTGAGGACACGGGCCACCGCCGAAGTGAAAAAAAAAGAAAGAAAAAAGAACGCACGCTGGAGAGAAACCCTTTCAAGTGCAAATATTGTGAGAAGATTTTCAACTCATCTGGTAACTTAACCAAACACATGATAACTCTGGATATAACTGTGTATTTAACTGTTACTTGATTTAAAAAGACGTTATCATGCACTGCTTTTTATGGTCTCCATTGTGTTAATAGATGCCAGGAAAACATCACTTACGGGGTTCAAATAAACACCCCCAAAAAAATCGGCTCGGCGCTTCGCGGCTCGTGGACGATGCTCCGCATCGTCATTATTTTGGTCAACCCCCCTCTTAGCAAAAAGCTAGATCCGCCCCTGAACACTGTATCACATTCTTGTAAGTTATGTCCAAATTCATTTGATAGTACATTATTGCCACTTGACGGTAAAAAATCAATTAGTATCTCCCATGTAAATGTACGTTCGCTAAACAAAAATGTTGATTCCTTAAAGTTGTTATATGAAGATTGCGTTAAGTTCAGATTCGATGTAATTGCATTATCAGAAGTATGGAGAGTTTTAGAAAAGTCAACCTTGGAAATGGAAGGTTATTTATTGGAGGTAAAGTGCCGGGATGGTAGAGAAAGAGGAGGAGGGGTAGGAGCTTATATTCGTTCTAATTTGAAATACGTCGTGAAAGATTATACAGTGAAGCATACAGAATCAATTTGGTTTGAAATAAACAATGGAGAATTCCAGAAGGTGATGGTAGGTGTTTTATATAGGAAACCAAATACAGATGTTAAAGAGTTTCAAGAAAGTCTTCTCACAGTTCTAGAAGACATTAAAGTCGACAGACGCAATACCATTGTAATAGGAGATTTTAATATAAATTCATTAAGTTCAGACGGAACAACAGAAGGGTTTTCAACAGCGATGAAATGCGTAGGAATTGAGCAGAAAATAAAATATCCAACAAGAGTAACCAGTGAGTCTGTAACCTTATTAGACCATATATACACTAATATGAACAAGTATGATAATCACTCAGGTGTTATAGAATGTGATATTTCTGATCACTGACCCTGTATTCATGATTTTAGAAAATCCATGTATAAATTCGAAGCAGATGCATTATCCACAGACTGTAACTTACAGATGTTATAAAAACTATGATGTACAAAACTTTAAAGATGATCTTGCTGGGCAAGAGTGGCAACATATCAATAGCTGTGAAGATGTTAACATGGCATATTCCATTTTTCTTAATTTGTTTAATAATGTTTGTAATAAACATGCACCAATCAAAGAGAAAAGAAGCTGCAAAGGACGCGCTTATAAGAAACCTTGGATAACCAAATCAATAATGAAGTCTGTTCGAAAAAAATATAAATTGTTTTTAAAAGTAAGGAAATCTAATTTTGATGTAAGTGATGTACAAAAATTTCGGAACTACAGAAATGTATTAACGACTGTTCTTCGCAATGCCAAGAGAAATTATTACAGTGGTTTGCTAGCTGAGAACAGCAATAACACTAGTAAAACGTGGAACATCATCAATGAATTACTATCTGGGAGAAATAAAGGTAACAAAGGTACTAAGGTAGAAAAACTTATAAGGCGTATTAATGGAAATGATAAAGTTCTAACAACTGAATCTGAAATTGCCAATGAATTTAATGATTTCTTTGTAAACATTGGTCCAAATCTAGCATCAGCAATACCAAATGTACCCACATTATTTGAAGATTATTTGAATAATAGTGTTGAGCAATCCCTTTTTTGGAAAATTCATGACCACATGTTGGCTCTAGACGAGAAGAAAGCTTGTGGTTACGACAACATTCCAGTACGCCTGATTAAGGATGGTGCATCTATTTTGGCTGAACCATTAAGACATATCTTCAATCTTTCATTGGAAACAGGAAATTTCCCTGATCAAATGAAAATTGCTAAAGTCAGTCCACTGTTTAAGAAAGGTAATAAACATGAAACAGGGAATTATAGACCCATTTCTGTCTTACCAATTTTGGGAAAATTATTAGAAAAAATAGTTAATGTTCGATTGACCAGTTTTCTAAAAACGCATGACATTTTATATCACCATCAGTACGGATTTAGGAAAAAGTATAGTACTAAATTATCATTAATTAATCTTATGAATACGGTATTGAACAGTATAGACGAAGGATGTGTTACGCTTGGCGTGTTTCTTGACTTTCAAAAGGCTTTTGACACAATAAACCATAAAATATTATTTAAAAAGTTCTCACATTATGGTATCCGAGGACATGCACTGAAATGGCTCAAAAGCTATCTTAGTGACAGAATGCAGTTTGTGAAATACAAAGAGTCATCATCAGAAAGTAGATATATCAAATGCGGTGTACCACAAGGTTCTGTCTTAGGACCAACTCTGTTTTTAATCTCTATAAATGACTTGCCAACTGTGACAAATTATTTCAATTTCAGACTATTTGCAGATGATTCTAATATTTTTCATACTTTTCCCAAAGGTGTAGATCAAATAGATGAGTGTGAAGTAAATGAAAATTTAAAATCAATACAGAATTGGTGCACTGCAAATAAGCTTACTATCAATGCGTCAAAAACCAATTTCATGTTCTTCAGTAGTCGTAGAAGAAAGGCTGTGCTTAAAGGGAGATTAAAAATATCTGGGGCAGAATTAATAGAAGTGGAGGAAGCAACATTTGTTGGTATTATCATTGACAGACATTTAACATGGAATTCACATATAAAATCTGTTAATGACTGTATACGGAGAAAGGTCGGTATCCTCTTTAAATTACGGCACTTTGTCCCTAAACATTTGTGAGAAGAAATACAACATGGATACATTGTTTGCCATTTTCTCAACATTTATTCCACTGGGGATAGAATTTCCCCTTTCAAACCGTCCAACAATTAATGTCACAATCAAATAACAGAAATGCAATGAAATTAAAAAGGGGCGATATCTGTACCCGCACTATTGTACAGGGAAGAGGGGAGAGGCTAAATAAAAACGAGATACTAAGTAGGGGAACCCGGGTCACGTGACCAGCCGGGAGGAAGACATCCAACCGAAGTCCCAGTTTCCTGAGATACGGATTCCCCTAAACAACCTCTCCTACTGAGAGCCCCTCCTTGCCATTGGGCAAACCGCTCTCCCCTGTTATGAACAACAATTAACATAAATATCAATAGCAATAAGCAACCTTGACAATTTTCAACCCCAAACAGCCAATACAAACCATTTTTTTTTTTTTTTTTTTTTTCCTCTTAATAGTTTTGTCTGTTTTGTTTTCTAAATTGTTACTTTCTGCCATAAACGGACGAACAATTAAATGAAATGATGTTATCTGTTGTCACTTGGACCCATTCAAACACAGCAAACTATAGTCATCTCTTTAAGGGCATTTATCAAAAATACTAATAATTTTATTTTTATTATTTTTCTCCATCGGTTCCTAAACCTTAATACCAAGCCAGGTGCTTAAATTCTCTGCACCATTATCACATTTTATGTGACTTTGCCGAGCAAAATTGAAATGAACAATTACGATTTATGAATCCACGTTAAATCAATTAAACACGATCACTATGTTGAAGACAATAATAACCTGTTTGCCCGTGTACAGTCGAGCTGCACAGCCTCAAATAAGATTCAGTCATTAGTCGACTGTCCTATTTTGATCGAACGTCTATTTACATGTACGTATTCATCTGTACAATCCACTGTTATCTTATTATCTTTGGCATTATTCCCTAAACTAGAAATATACATGTAGGTATACTTGACGAGCTGCCATACCAAAACCAACAACAAAACAACCATGATAGCAGCGTCAACGAGCCATATCATGGTCCAAATCAGATTCTGCCTTGTTCTATTTACATGTGCATGTATATACACTTTGCAATGATCTTTATATTCAGCTTAAATGTTAAAGTGTTGAGTCGCAAGACTCACGTGCATTATTTTGAGGGAGTCATTATATTTAAACGGCGTTTTCTCAGAGATTTCAAGTTTTAAGTTAACCCAGCCATTCGAGCCGCCGTTGCGAAACTCTGTATCAAGATGTCACATCCACTGTCCGACAGGTGTATCCCGTCCCTGTTGAAGTATTGGTGTTCTTGCGCGATGAAGTTGTGCATGATGAACGATGCATTGTGCATGCCCTGATCTTTCTTCTACCATATTTGTTCAGGGATTTCCTCACCTTATCAATCGCTGATTGCGAGTGCACTGTACGGCCATATCCATAGTAGAACAAACGAGGTATTATGCTTGAGAAAGAAATGTGGCACCCCGGTAATAGTTCCCGGGCTGTGGTGAGGGCATCATCTAATGCCTGTCGACATTGCTTGGCTCCATAGCGGCCGAGGTCGTTCGAACCCACGTGAATGATCATGATGGTAGGAGCTGGGTTGTACCTTAGTAAGTCCTGGAGAGCTCTCGGAAATTCGTGTAGGGTTAGGCCGCCTCTGCCAAACCATTTAACCTCGCTTGCATTTACTCCCAGGTTGTGGTTGCCTGTCCAGGATGCCCTCTCGCCGGCTCTCCTGACGAAGCTATCCCCCAATAGCCACAACCGTTGGGCTCGAGTACCTGTGGTGAAAACAAAAGAGTTCTTCGGGGAAGTATACATGTACATAATTCTTTTCACGATCATATGTTTATTCATAGTCCACCCTATTCGACTTGTTTGTAGTTAAGGTTAAAACGAGCATCATATTGTGCCCGTGCTATAATTTGGTAAGCACGATAATCGGTTTCTTATTATTTGTTTATTATTTATTTATTTTTTTATTTTTTTATTTTTATTTTTTTTACACTGTATACATGACTTTTTGAAAACTTATGATCAGCTTACAATAATTTGCTTCATGTGAGAGATGAGGAAGAGCACTCTCAATTTTATTAATGTAAACTACAACCTTCCACGCTATAACCTTTGGAAGGAGGATGGAGTAAACTTGTTTCAACACGTGCTGAGGCCACGCACCACTGAACCACTTGTTCTGAAAGTAATCGCCAAATCCTATGCCTCCGCTTGCATCTGTGAATAAGTTCAAGTCTGAGTCAGTTGACCACTGCCTAGGCTGAATGATTGTAACCCCGTTAAATTGTTCCAGGAAAGACGACCAAACTTCGAGGTCAGCACGGGCTCCATCCGTTAAACGCCGTGAACCCTTTGACCCGTCTTCTGTTTTCAGGAGATCTATTAACCTCCTTAGGAACGCTCTACCTGGCCGTACGGCTCGACAAACAAAATTCAAGGATCCTATTAACGACTGAATATTCCTCAGATCCAAAGACTTTTGTTCTAAGGCCCTGCGGATTTTCTGTTTCAAGGCTGCTACCTTACCGTCAGGTATCCGAACTTGCATGACGCTGGTGTCGATCTCCAGGCCTAGATATGTCAATTTTGTACAGGGCCCTTCCGATTTTTCCATAGCCAGAGGGACACCTAGTTCACTGCATACTGAGCGAAATTTGGTTATTATTCCTAAACATTTAATACCTCCTGCATTTGCCGACCCTACTGCTAAAAAATCGTCCATGTAGTGAACTATCCTATCTGTTCCTAGCCTGTCCCTCACACAGAATTCTAGAAATGAGGAGAATTTTTCGAAATATGCCGGTGCGCATCGGATCCCCATTGGTAAACACTTATCTACGTAATACTTCCCTTCGAATTTTATTCCTAATAATTCAAAGTCCTGGGTTGATATGGGTAGCAGTCTGAATGCAGATTGTATGTCTTCTTTTGCTAACTCGGCCCCTATTCCCGTCCTAGAAACTAAATCTACGGCAGTATCAAAGCTACTGTATTCTACTTTGCATGCATCATCGGCAATGAAATCATTAATCGAGTACCCTTTCGGATAGGATAAGTGATTTATTAGTCGGAAATCCCCTGGGTTCTTCTTCGGGACTAAGCCAATTGGGCTTGCTCTCAAATTTGAAGGGGTCTTTTCTCGTATGGCCCTGCGTAGCGTCCCGAAGTAACTTCCTTATCGATTTTCTTTTTTGTCGCTACCTTATTCTGATCTGCCGATTTCAAATTTGGTAGATCGGCAGGCAACCGAGGGCCGTTGTAATACAATATGAAGCCCTGGGTGAAACCGGTTACTAAGCATTGCGCTGCCTTTTTATTGGGATATCTTTCCAACTCTGCTACTAGTCTTTCTACTTTAATGGGAGATGGAGCTAGTGAGTGTAGTTGATGATCTTTTACCGACTTTACGTTAACATTATTATTATTGGCCATTGATGTTCCTTCGTTATATTGATCCCCAGTATTTAAGTTTTCTTGTATTACTAGACTAGACTCTATCTAGATCTACTAGATCTGCTTCATGCGGTTTGGCTGGTGATCGCCTCCCGTGTATTTGCTCGATACCGACCGTATGAGGTGGCAATATTTTAGGATCTCTTGTGCGCAGTTTGGATGTGCCTGCAAACAGACACTCGCAAATGTCAAAAAGGCGTTTGTCCACGCCTCAATGTTGTAGATCTTGTTTCTTGCTGTTACTGTTGGTTAAAGCGTGAGTTGTTGTCCCGTTTGAACTACAGTAAAACCCGATTGACTCTGTTCCATTGGAACGTATCCCTGCCCTCGAGCCGTCATCCCCTGGTTGCCTAGTAACCCGTTAAAATCGACGTATTCTCCCTTCCATATTTTTTCTTTCAAATTGTGGGGAACCGTGATACCCAGGGTTTCTGTTTGGGGCGACATTGGTCCGATTGGAGATGGCATCGGGACTTGTTGAGACTGAGGTTGATATGGGGATGGGGATTGAGATTGAGACGGGATCGGATCGATTGGTTTCGGGTTTAGATCTAGATCTAGATCTAAGTCTACATGATCCCCGAAGTCTGGATTTAGACCTCCATCCCGCCCTGGTACTATGGAAGGGAACGATACGGTAGGGACGAGGGCTGAATTGGTCTTTATGCTTTCATTAGATCTAATGCCTGTAATGTCAAGCTGACGGTTGTTTGTCGTAAACTCACCCGGTTGTGTCACGACCGAGGGTCGTCCCGACGACTGACTGGGTGTTGCTGCCTGGGCTGCAGGCACCTGCTCCACCGTCCCTGGGCCGGTCACTGGCTGATCTTGCGACACCGACTCCCTTGGCATTGACCTTGACGTGTATCTCCCTCTCCTACTACTAGTAGGCCTAGACCTAGAGCTAGTAGTAGGCCCTACTAAGTACTACTAGGCCTTGTCACTCTCGTGTTGGGTCCTGTGGTAACACTAACATTCCGTGTTGATGCTCTGGTCTCGCGATCTTTGCGTTTAGTCGTCTGCCCGCCTCTTTTCTTCCCCATTGTCACTGTCAAGTTCGGGCTTGATCGAGCGCGATAGTCCGGTTTAGTTTATAAAGAAAAACATCCAACCCCAGTGGAACTTGTTGAGTATGTGAGGCGAAATGCTAACTTGGAATGCGCGCACTTTACCGGTATCGCGCGCGATGCGCTAACTAATAGTTTCTCTTTTGACCTTTCTGCACTTTGCTAGCGTAAACAACTTTGACCCTGAACTATATTGTTTACGTTGCATTCTCTCACAAATGCGCTGATTCGATAACTCGAATAATCGAAATATTGATACTGTTGTATAAAGCTCTGATACAGCCACATATTACATATGGCATCGAGGTTTGGGGTAGTACTTATAAATCACACTTGAATTGTATATTTTATACTCAAAAGATGGCTGTACGTGCTATAACTTTCAAGCCACATCGTTTTCATATTAATGCACTGTTTCATGACCTCAAATTGTTGAATGTTTTTAAATTGCATAACTTATCTATTGGTACTTTTGTGTTTGATTTGATAAATGAACGATTACCTCATTCCTTAAAACATTATTGCAGTATGATACAACATGAATATTCCACAAGACAAAAAACGGGTCGACAATTACGTCTTCCTTTATTCAAAACAGACCAAGGAAAGTTTTCTGTTTCGTTTGTTGGAAGTAATTTTTGGAATATGCTTCCTACTGATCTAAAAATTGAGAGATCAAGAACCTCTTTTCGTAAAAAACTTACAAAATTACTTTTAAGTGAAAACCACGAATCATAACCTCGTAACTATATAGTTTTATATAGTAACCAGTCTCATTTTTATATTATACACAAATCTTATTTATAAGATTTGGTAACCCATCATGTATTTTTAAAATAACTTTATTTTATGCTTTAGATAACGAGAGTCAGACTCGACTAGCACATGTGCTATTTTTGACTCTATTTTACCATCGATCACAAAATCATTGTAAATAGTCATTTATTGTTTTACTCTTGAAGCAAAGTTTACTTTATATTTGTCATAATGTACATGTATATCGCTGTAGAACATGTATTTTTTTATAATTCATGTCATGCATTTATGTTATATTGACATTGTCATTGTACATTTATCTTTTGTTTCAATGTTTTCAATGGTGGTGAATAAATAAATTCAATTCAATTCAATTCTTTTAAAGGACAATTTATCTAGAATTGTCAGAAAGGGGATAATAAAAACGAATGGATAACACTATGAATCCAGAACGTCAATGACGTAGCGCTCATCCGCATCTCGCAACAACAAATATCGTAAATTTTATGTGGTACACTTTTGAACTGGTCAAAAAATAAAAATGTGATGCCCTGGAAGGGACATAATTTCATTTAGTTGTACAAGATTAAATAGAAACTAAAGGAAATGAAATGAAAATTGGGTGAAAAATATATAGTTGTATGACAAGCAGGACTCGAACTTAGTTAGAGATAAATGAAAACATACTCACCTTTTATTATGATAAGAAAAGGACAGAGGTATAAATAGTCAGTAAATTGTCAACAGAAAAATATGGCAAAATAACAATTTTGTAAGGGACAAAAACGAGTTAGTGTGAGAAAATTGTTAAAATATTTAAACAAATTGAAGAATTAGGGGGTAACAAGAGAATGAAAACAATGCATGCATAATACTGATGAATTAAAACAAAATTAATTATTGTGATCTTTCAGCCATTTGCACTCAGGTGTGTTGGATGTTGTGCTTGCCTTGAGTGCAAGATGTTGCCAAACACCACAACTTGGAGGCAGATCACATATCCTATTATTTAAGAAATGAGGAAGAAGAAGCAATATTTGTTATTTTTTTAATAAATTTCCATACATTACCATAATTAATTAATGGAGCAAAATCTCAAAATTCTGTGTAAAAGTTTAGTGTTCCAAATTTAGCTGTACCAGATAAGGCAAACCAAATCAAAATCGGTCAAGAAATGAGGGAGAAGCAATTTTTGTTATTTTTGGAATAAATTTGTATAAATTACCATAACTAATTAATAGAGAACAATTTCAAAATTCTGTGTAGAAGTTAAGTGTACCAAAGTTAGCTCTACCAGATAAAGCAAACCAAATCAAAATCTGTAGAGAAATGAAGAAGAAGTATTTTTTGTGATTTCGAATAAATTTGCATAAATTAGCATAGATAATGAATTTCACGATTCTGTGTAGAAATTTTAAATCCCCCTCCTAGCCCTATCATATGAAACAATAAGAATCAAAATCGGTT